TTTCGTAACGAATTATTTTTTTGTCCATATAACCTGCTAATCTAAACTTGAAAAAATAATCAATTTCTCGCACATGATTACTATAAAAATATTTTTTAAGTAATTGTTTATTCGATAAAAGTTATAGGTCCTTATGGAAGACATCATGTTCATGAAATCATAGTGGAAAATTTAAAAAAATATATATGTTTCTGCAATTTCTCAACATGTTTGGGCAATAAACCATCTGGTTTGCCCTCACTATACGTATATTGAAATAATACTCATATTTTCAGTTTATATAATGGAAACGAGGTGAGAAAATCTCAAAATCTAGAATAATGAATATTTTAGTTATTGCATGATAAATAGCTTGAGGCAAAGTGTTTTTATTGATTGTAAGCTTGATAACTATTACATTTTGGAATTTTTTGCTACATATTTTTTAAAAGAAACCTGTCGCTTTGCTGGCTTCTCTAGTATGCTGAGTTCGCTTGAAGCATAGACTTGAAGATAGCAGAGCCACAGGTTTGTTTTAAAATATGCAGAAAAAAAATTCAAAATGCGATAGTCCGATAGTTATTGAGCTTATAATCAATACCAACACTTTGTCTTGAAAAATCGTCATAAAATATGCTTTTGATAGAAATACATAATGTACAGTAAATGATGTGTATTTCGACAAATTGTCTTGTATTTTTTCTGTTTGAAACGTTGAGCAAAAAATTCTAAAATAGGGTAATTAATTAGCCTAAAATTAGCCTTTCAATACCGATATATCAAATCGGTGAAAAATATAATATTTTCAAAAACGGCTCTGCTGAGTTCGTCCGAATCCAGCAAAGCCACAGGTTCATTTTAAAAAATATGCAGCGAAAAATTCCAAAATGCAATAGATATTGAGCTCATAATCAATACTAACACTTTGTCTTGAAAAATCGTCATAAAATATGCTTTTGATAAATATGCATGATGTATCAGTGAATAAACGCGTATTTCGACGAATCGTTTTCGTATTTTTTAGTTTGAAACATCGAGCGAAAAATTCGAAAATAGGGTAATTAATTAGCCTAAAATTAGCTCTTCAATATGGATATATCAAATCAGTGAAAAATATATTATTTTAAAAATTGGCTCTGCTGAGTTTGCCCGAAGCCAGCAAAGCTACAGGTTTCTTTTAAAAAATATGTAGCAAAAAATTCCAAAATGTGATAGTTATCAAGCTTACAATCAATAGGAACACTTTGCCTAATGAAAAAATATGCTTTTGATAGAAAAACATAATGTAAAGTGAATGACGCATATTTCGACAAATTGTCCTGTAGTTTTTCTGTTTGAAACGTTGAGCAAAAAATACGAAAATTAGGTAATTAATTAGCCTTAAATTAGCCCTTTAATCTCAATATATCAAATCGGTGAAAAATAATCTATGTTTTCAAAAATGGCTCTGCTGGGTTCAGCCTAAGCTAGCAAAGCCACAGATTTTTCTATGATAGAGAGGAGCAAGAAGATTGGGAATAGGGTAATAAATTAGCCTAAAATGAGCACTACATTCTCACTATATCAGATATTCAAAAAATATTGTTTTTCAAAAATGGCTTTGCTGAGTTCGGCCGAATAGCTAGCAAAGCCACAGATTTTTCTATGATAGGGAGGAGCAAAAAATTCGGGAATGGGGTAATAAATTAGCCTAAAATGAGCCTAAAATTATGAGATGTGTCTCATGGTGAAATTCGAAAGTGGCTTTGCTAGCTTCATTGGTATCGATCTTTTGATATAGGTCAATAGAGTTGAGGTCACACATACTGAACTACCCCCAAAAAATGGTAACACTATGTATGGTTGAAAACCCTTCAAACTAGTAGTCTTAATTCTATCCGGGATATATATATATATATATGCTGCTTCTTTCTGAAAGGTTATGTTTTCCACCCTTATGACATGTAGAATTTGTATTCTTTGGCCTGTAGCTACAGCTAATAGAACTGCCAATTTTCTTGACAATTCTAAAAAGAATAAACTCTCATTAGTACCCAATGAAGATAAATGATCCAACACTTTTTGATGCTCCCATGTGATGTCATATTTAGGTAGGTATTGGAGGTGGCAATCTCAAAACACCCTTGAGAAATCTCCTTATAAGGGCATGTTATCCAATTTCCTTTTGAAGAATTAGAGAGTGTGCTGACCTATGCTGGTTGAAGGTTCCATATTTTGCTCTAGAACGACCCAACTCATATTGCATGAATAGTGGATATTTCTGCTTCGAAAGGATCTGCTTTTTTATTCAGACAGAATGACCATAAGAGGAATTGTACTGTCTCATTGTTGATTCAGATATAGACTGCATCAAGGTGTGGATTGTTTCCTCTGAATGGCCTTTTCTTAAAAAAGCTTGCCGGACAATTTGCCTTCCACCAGGGAAAGGGTGGCATGCAGTGGATGTGTTTTCCTGAAAGGGGAGGAGAGTAAATATTTATTACGTTCGAATTTGACTATCCATTTTTCAAAATTTATTGTAAAACCTAGAGAAATCAATAAATTCATTGACTTTTGTACATGCTCCTGGCAAATTTCTATCTACTTCTGAGTGGGAGGCTAATAATAATAATGTTTTTTGGCTTGGAGATATTGCCCCTTCTGTCTGTGATCTCTCTTGTATCCAGACAGGCCCCTCCAGTTTAAAGAATCACCTCTTTTATATGTACCACTACCTGATGAGCTTGTACTTGGTAGTGGATTACTAGGCTTCTTGAATACAGTATCTGTTTTTGATTTGAGATCTATAACTGATCTCTCAACAGCTTTTGCAGTTTTTATATGCTCACCCAGGTTTGGTCCAAATAACAGCTCCTCAATAGGTGCTGCACTAGTCAGCTCTTTGACAGTTTTACTCAACATAGGTGTAATGAGGGCTCTCCTAGTCAGTGACATATTGTAGTGAACATCTGTCAACAATTTTCCTGACTCACTAAGAAGGCCAAGAACTGTGTTCTTGTTTTCTTTATTATCCTCTTCCTTCAAGAATTCAAGAGGATGTTGATACCAGCCCCTAGGGCAGCAAGGCCCTTTCCTAACTGGCTCTGTTCAGCTGTTGTAACTTGTCTTTCTTATATCTGAAGGCATAGCCTTCAGAATTTCAGGGTTTATATCTGGGGCCTTCAAAAATGTTAAATTTGTTGGAGGCAAATGTAGCTCCATTAGCCTTTCTTTTTCTCCTTTATCAAGCCCTTCTGTGAGTATGGTTTTCCATCTCTTTTGGAGTTGATCGTGATCGTGAATGCTTTCGCTTTCGGTCCCTCGGATCAGTTCCATCGCTTTTGCTATGCTTCCCCATTTATCTAAAAGAGGAAAATATCAATATTAAATTAAAAATATTAAATATTTCAAAAAAAAAATCAAACAAGGAAAAAAAATGTGGTAACTCTAGGTGCGTTCGGTTTAACAAAATCGGAGCCGAGCGAGCAGATGCAGATTTGGTGTCACGTGATCACCTAGCAGATAGGGCTAAAGATATTTAACGAACGCTCAACGAGGTAGTAGATTGCAGATTGCAGAAATAACACAAAACAGAAACAATTCACTTAACCTTATTACTTTTATAAACACTTCAGGGCAACAAAGTTTTTTTGAATGTTCGTTGTTTATATTTTGAAAATTACTAGGGAAGGAATGATTCTGTCTAATATGATCGGTCATTAACTGTGGATCCAGGGCAGTTGTGATCGCATATATTACAGATATATAATTAATATGCTACCTACAGCAAATTCGTCGGTCATTCTGGCGATTCTGGGCAATGAGGATTCTACAAAATTCAGTTTTGTGTTTCGTTTCCAGTTGATCGAGTCTTCAATTTTTCGTCATAAAAGAGATATAATTTCAATAACATGTTGTTGACATTGATTTGTTGACAATTGACAACCGAATAACCGATCAAATCTGAATGATCTGCTCCTCAAGGCGGAGCAAACAGATTACATCTTTCAGCTCGCTCTGACAATTAACGAACACGGAGCAGATTAGACAGAGGAAGTAGATCTGATTTATCGAACGCTTTCCGAGCTAACAGATGGAATCGAGCTAACAGATATGTTATAACCGAACGCACCTACCAACGCGTACACAAAAAAGCGTAATGACACTAATGACGTACACTGTCGTACACGGTACACGGTCCAGTCAGTAAGGAAGGGTGCTGTATGATAAAAACTCTTCTTCTTACTTAATACATTGTGGCATCAACCGTACCTAAGAGTGGTACTACCTAGCTAAAACAAGTGATCTCGACGACGAGGTGCCGAAATATAATAAATAATTTGAGTTTTATAGTTTTCCTGTTTTATGAAATATAATCTGTTTTTCCTCGAGAGTTCTATAAGTTCATTGAGCATCACAAAAATCTCGAAAATATTAGGTAGATATTTCATAACAAAACATGACCATTCAGACAATATTCAGACTATCAGACTATCACTTAGATCATATGATTATGGAGTGCCTTTTTACTTTTTAATATACATTGGATCAAATGTATGTCAAAAATTGTGTTTTTGCAATAGTTTGCTGCAGGAATTGACATACACCGCTAGGGTGTATACTGTGCTAATCGATGAGTGGTATCACCACTGTGGTCAGACGAATGACTTGACAGTTGACACAGCCAGCCTATTACATATGTTTGGGCTAAACGGATTCGTGCGCTTCGCAGGCACATAAAAATAAAACATAAAACTATTCTACTGTCTGTCTGTTTATCACTCCAATATTTTATCATTCTATTTATAATACAATCGAATCGACGATTGACGAATGATGAATTGATAAATGTGATGCATGTCGATGTTGGAATTTGGAATGATGATATGGTGAAGAGAGTAGAATCGAATCAGAATGTATATATAATATAGAGTACAAAAAAATAAAATGGGAATTTAACCAGGCTTGCAGAGATTAGTGTTAATATTCATCTATAATTGATATTATTGTTTAACTTCTCATATCTGATGGTGCAATAATTTGTTGAATTTAAATAACCTTGACCAGAAATGTCTTGAATTCAGTTTTATTCAATCGTTGAACGGAACCTAACTGAACTCACGTTTATTTTATAATACCAAAAATGTCCCTCATATTACGAATCAAACAAGTAGGAGGAATGTCAAAAATTGCAAGTGGAAGTATCCTTATTTTTTTTATTTTTCATCAATATATTATAGTGAGTATAGGCGTATAGTTGAAATGAGTCATATATAAGGTATTATGATTATTATAATATTTGCCTCTTGAAACTAGATGTTTGTAATTTGTAATATTCTATGATTTCTAGCTTCTTATTACTTCTTTTATAATATGAAACTACTCTTATTCATTTTCAATATTTTTACAATGAGGGATTAGGGGGCTTTTGAGGTGGCAATTTGTTGAACAAAATAAATAATGGATTTCTGTGAGTAATTGCATAATTTTTTCATTTGGAATTGTAGAATATATATAGGGGGAATTTAGGAGACTGTATTTCCAAAATGGAAATTGCTGATGGTACCTATAAATTTTCATTGGTGAAGTGTCACTCATCATATTCATGGTTTGTGAATATCATTTCTAAATATTTTCTTTAACAGAATTTATAGATTGGATCTGTCAACTCCATCATCATTCATCAAGAGGAACTGGTGAGTTCATTAGCTTTATTACCAACTTTGATTGAAAAATGAAGAATAGGTACCTATAATATGTTTTTATACACCAAGGTAGTAAATAATATCATTATTACAAGATTATTTCCCGCGGTCTCCGCCGGGGCGGGGGTATAAAAGGTCATGTGGTAATAAATATTCTCTCTCAACAAGGTTTGATTATATTAATTTTTTTTTTCACCACTAGCAATATTTCAATCATTTTAGTTCTGTGAAACTGAAATATGAACCTGTATTTTCTTGTCACCAAGGCAAACAAAGATTCGATGTTGAAAGGAGTGTTATTGTTTATAAAGTGGCTGGCGTCAATGGTTAGGTTAGGTTAGGGTTAGGTTGAACGTGAGTGGGCCTATTGTCAGGCCCTCCACTGCGGCCATTGGCCTATTGTGGCTCACCCTAGGGTTATATTTCTCCCTGTATATCCAATTTCTTAACGAAATTGAGGATTGCGTTGGGAGAACAATTTACCAGGTTTTCTGGCCTTACTATTGTATTGCGTCAATGGTTATATGATATGAAATATGAAAATAGTAGATAAATTAATACACAGACATAAGTTTAAGTTATCAGGATAATTGTACGACTTTTCAAGCAGATAACAACATCAGAGAAAAATTTCAGTCCCTTTCAATCCCAAGTACAGAAGACTCACAAGAGGTCGTCGATCATGATAAGGTTTTCAAAGACTTAGGTTTTGAAAGCGTTTATTATCAGCAAACCCAACTTATTTTGCAATGTTCTACTTACCCTAGCTAGGGGTTAGGTTTTTTTGATACACCCTGTATATATATTGTGGAATCTAGGTGGAATCCATTCCTCAACATAATATGAATCATACTGGTTTTATTCTCATTTTAATAAATCAAACGTACATATATACCTACTAATAATACATTCCAGCATCATTCAACTGGCAAGATCCTCTGAACCTGGAGTCATTATTAACAGAAGATGAAAAACTAATTAGAGATCAATTCAAATCATACTGCCAGGAAAATTTGCTGCCACGAATCAAAGAAGCGAATAGACGTGAAGGTATTAACATTAAAATCACAAATTCATTACATTATCAAAACCCTATATTTTCATTTTACTTGATTCTTTGGGATTTTCTCTCCTCGTTTCTATAAAATAAAAGTATTCCTATTATTTCAATATATTTGTAGAGGGACACATCAGATGATTTGCCCCAAAATGTCACTGCGTTAAACAAATTTTTCTATCAGGGAGTCTAAAAGAATAATCCAGTAGCTTGTCAGTGACAATTTGTTTGAAAAAATGTTTGAAAGAAAAGAAATATAGATATATTGAAAAAATATCGAATTTTTACTCATCTTTGGACGTTTCGGGACCGATTTTGCTTCCGTTCTCAACATGTAAATGCAAATTATGTTTCTTTGAAAGTTGTGTGCTGCTTATAGTTTGACACTTTTCAGTGTCATACTGATGTTGACATATGAATGAGTGATTTTAGTCTACAAATGAGTTACAGGATGTTTTCATTAATTGATCTTGAATCTACCATTTTTATGTTCAGTTTTCAGTAGTGAATACCATGTTCTTTCTATATCAACTGAACAGGAAACAGGAAGCAATGCTATTGTCTCCGTTTAGAGAAGAATGCAAGCGGATTCCTTGATTTTTCTCTTTTGGTTGTTATCTTCCTTTCCTATAATTATGATATGATTCTACTCTGCCATAATTATGTTGTTTAACTTCAGTAAGGATATGTTCAGTTATACCTTCGATTTATGGATATGTCTTTTCTTGATATTGTATTTGTGTTCTTTAGTCCTTACTGAGAGAGGTCTTCTTTTTTACAGGTGAAACGAAAAGACCTCTCTCAGTAAGGACTAAAGAACACAAGTACAATATCAAGAAAAGACATATCGAAAAATCGAAGCTAACTGAACATATCCCTACTGAAGATGGACAACATATGGCAGAGTGGAATAATATCAAAATCATAGGGAAGGAAGATAACAACCAAAAAAGAAAAATCGTGGAATCCGCTTGCATTCTTCTAAACGGAGACAATAGCATTGCTTCCTGTTTAGTTGATATTGATAGAACATTGTATAAAGATCAATTAATGAAAACATCCTGTAACTCATATTTGTAGACTAAAATAACTCATTCATATGCCAACATCAGTATGACACTGAAAAGTGTCAAACTATAAGCAGCACAACTTTCAAAGAAACATAATTTGCATTTACATGTTGAGAACGGGAGCAGAATCGGTCCCGAAACGTCCAAAGATGAGTGAAAATTCGATATTTTTTCAATATATCTATATTATTTATTTCCTTCAAACATTTTTTCAAACAAATTGTCACTGACAAGCTACTGATGGATTTTACTTCTAGACTCCCTGATAGAAAAATTTGTTAAACGCAGTGACATGTTTGGGGCAAATCATCTGATTTGTCCCTCTATAAAAATATTGAAATAATACGAATACTCTTATTTTACAGAAACGAGGAGAGAAAATCCCATAGAATCATGTAAAATGAATGTACCACCTCCTCGATTAACCTACAGGACAGTATTCAACCTATATTTTCAGTTTTTGATAGAGATATAATGACCGAAGTTGGTCGACTAGGTGTTCTTGGTTGTACGATAAAAGGATACAACTGTGCTGGAGTATCGAATGTGGCTTACGGGTTGCTGACGAGGGAAGTTGAAAGAGTTGATAGCTCTTATAGATCGGCGGTTAGTGTACAATCTTCGCTGGTGATGGGGGCCATCTACGACTATGGCATGGAGGAACAGAAGAAGAGGTACCTGCCACTTCTAGGTAAAGATAAATATATTATGAAATAGGTATGTACCTATACCAACTGAATGTGTCGAGCACACATTTATACCTGAAGAGTTTATTCCCTTATTGCATCCCTTCGATTTATTGTGTCATACTCTATGTCCATATCAAACAATATCGGAAAAAACTTGTATGATTTGTCAATCGTGGAAAGAATAATGAAAAGATCGGATTCAATAAAGAAATTTCTATAGGTATGATATCTTCATTTTTCAGCCAAGTAGAGGTACCTTTTTATCTTTTCGTTATAGCTAGTGGTGAATTGGTCGGCTGTTTTGGACTTACTGAACCCAATCACGGCAGTGACATAGGGCTAATGGAAAGTAAAGCAAAATATGACCCTACTTCAAAAACATATGTTCTTAATGGAAGTAAAACATGGTGAGATATTTTGATATTCTTCAATAAAAAGAAAATAAGAAATATGTAAACCTTCAATTTTTTATAAATGAAGACTAATAATTTATTGTTCATTTCCAGGATAACAAACTCTCCAATAGCTGACATACTCATAGTATGGGCAAGATGTGATGACTCTAAAGTTAGAGGATTTATAATAAATCGAAAAGAACATGGCAAGGGGCTGGAAACGCCCAAAATCGAAGGGAAATTTTCATTGAGAGCATCGACAACAGGTCTACTACAATAATTCTCAACAAACTGTGAGCCACTCACAAAGTTTGCAAATTCTTGGTATAGACACAGATTAATCAACTATTATTAGTCTGTGGCATTCTGTGGTACCGTAATTTGGGGTGGATTTGAACGCTTTGTAGAGGTATATGGCTATAACTATCGACCGGGACGTCAACAAATTATGAAAAAATAATTAAGAATCTCCAAACATTCTTCTAAAAATGGGAGAAAGCGTTTCATGTTGTTTATTGATTTTTTTTTGAGAGTTTCGAATTCACTATGTGTGGGGTCTTTAAACAGAGCTCTAATAAAAATTCGAATTTTGGTCTTTCAAAGGATTGATTCGAACAATTCTTGTATATAAAAATATTCAATTATATGAGTGTGAAATTTCTCTAAGGAGTAGAAAAATAACAAGTCGAGATAATAACAAAAAATATTTCTAAAATATTAATGAAATATAAATGGAAAATAAAATATGACAAATACTTAGCTTATTATCCAATAATATAATTTTTCGGCCATCTGTTCCTTCTGAGATCCGTTGGTGGTTTGAGTTTCATTATGATGTCTTCTGTATTCACCAGAAACTCGTCTTCACCATCTGGATAGTGGAAATAATTAGCAGTTTTTTCAGTTTTCTTCTGTCTCAGAAAATTTATCAAAATAAGATATCAGGCTTTTTGTCCTCCAGGAGTTCCTCCAGGAGTTCCTAAGTGGACCCCCTTAATTTCATTACATCGTGTAGCAATTGGAACATTATACACCTCTGCAGCTCTTATTCTATATGTCATTTTTTTATCTTTGTTGGCATTGATCATTGATTGCCTTGATATCCAGATGGATGATTTCCATGTTGCACGCCGCCAAGCCGATTTCAGTATTTTCGTGAAATATTTTGTTTGATTATCTCTGAAAAATATTGTGAAGAAATTAAACTCTGTTCTTGACAACATATAAATGATCATGATTACCGATTTTGAAGTTAGTACAACTTTCCAAACCAGAGTTACAATAGTTTGTTTGTGTCGCATCGACAAAATGTATTAATAAGCCGTCGTGATTAAAAAATCAATATACTATTTTACATTCACCATCACACGACCATCTGACCTTCACGAATGTTACCATAAGACTGATTTCTCACGCACAAAAAGTGGAGAGGAATAGTTGAATATTTCGCTTTGAAAGTTGTAAATAATTGAGCGTTCGAAGTCACCCCAAATCACGGTACTCTTTATATATATATTCTTTTGATTCAGTATCTCAATAAATACAATATTTTTCTACTTGTACATATAAAACTTATAGAAATTGAAACTAAATGATAGTGAATGAACTCATGCTGCACAAATAAATAAAATGTCATTATCATGGAAACAGTTAGGAATAGTTTTTGCAGTCACTTGAGACAAATTCAGCAAAAAAAATCCTGCGGCACCCGGTCCGTTTGAACTTTTCAAAGGAACCGCCGGTGGGCGCAGCGGATCTCTTTTGCTCACTGTGTCCAGTGACTTTGCAAAGACTATACCCATAAATTCCAAACTGGATATTTGACTGTTCAACCTAACCTAACCTGACTGTTATGGGTATAGTGAGTAGTCAAAATTTTGGGTGGCCAATTCGTTGATTTGTTCATCATATTGTTTGGAGAAGCATATCTGATACTATTCAAACAAATTGTTCATCTTCTAGGAATGATCCTAATGGATAACGTGATAGTGCCCGAAGACCATGTACTGCCGAACGTGGAAGGTATGCGTGGTCCTTTTGGGTGTCTAAACAATGCCCGGTATGGGATCGCTTGGGGAGCCCTGGGCGCGGCCGAAAACTGCCTGGAAATTGCAAGGAATTACACTTTGGAGAGGCGACAGTTCAACAGACCACTTGCAGCTAATCAATTGGTACAGAAAAAACTGGCAGACATGTTGACGGATATTGGACTGGGTCTGATGGGATGTTACCAAGTTGGAAGGTTGAAAGATGAAAAAATGTGAGTCTTATTGTGTCCATGGAAAATACTTGTCCATAGGTCGGTGGCGGCTCGTGACTTTGAATGATATGAGATTTATTGTGAACAACAACTGTCTACGACTTACCCAAATCAATAGCTTTAATGACATTCTGTTTACCAGTTATCTTGAACTTAATACTTGAAGAGATGTGTTCGTGTGATTTGCAGAGTGTCTATCCGATCCACGAGGCAAATTTTTCAAAACATTATTATCCTAATCGCCCCCAACATGATGACTTATCGGTTGAAAATAGCTTATTCTTTACCTCAGATATAATTATCAGAATTGAACGAACGATTTTGTTCGTTACCTGTTACAATCAGATTTTTTAATTCCGTTGTCGGACGTTTGTTTTCCAACAATCAATTTATCTTCATAAGACAAAGCACTGAATGGGTTCACCAAAAAGTATTCCACTAAATCGCAATCGTTTGAAACACTCATTTTTCAGATATTTATAGAGCCCTTAACCATTAACCTAACATAAACATAAACAATGCACCCGCGCTGGATTGTCCGCAATTCGCGACGCGACACGGCAAACACGTGCTATTCGGGTGTATTCGGGCATTTGCATTGCGCGCGTGGGTTGCGCGTTGTGAAGGAGGCTAGCCTCCTATAGATGTTGCCAAGTTGAATATTGTACGCGTGATCTGCAGACTTCAACGTGTGATGCGCGTGGGCAAGCACTGTTGCCAATTCAAAAATATTTACCTAAAAACAGGAAATAAAAACAAAATCCATGTATTTTGGTGTCCTTTTAATGAGAAAGTATAGATAATATCAGTTTAAGGAGAATCTCTGAGGAGGCTCAGCCTCCGTTGCCTCCTCTGAGGAGCCGCCACTGCTATAGGTATACTTAGAGAAAACTGCCTAACACAAAGTTCAACATGCTGACAATGTTTTTTTCTTGAGTGCAAACTATATATACTGATATCTTCATTTCCTAGGCATACACCAGAGATGATTTCACTTCTGAAGAAGAATAATGTACAAAAAGCACTGGAAATTGCCAGAACTGCAAGAGATATGTTGGGTGGTAATGGTATTTCGGATGAGTATCATGTTATAAGGCATTTAATGAATTTAGAAGCAGTGAATACCTATGAAGGTTGGAACCACAAGAATATGAAAATCATATATTGATATAACCATTTTTGATAATATTTTAGGTACTTATGATATTCATACTCTGATTTTGGGGCGTGCAATAACGGATATTGCTGCTTTTTGATACCATTAATCTATAGAAAAAGGATGCGCATACTAAGTACACCCAACAAACAATCAGAGTGCATGTGTGAATATTCTTCACAACTGGCATCTTTGAAGAATATAGGTACATCAATGAACAGAAGGACTGAAATACAAATTCTTCATATATTTGTGATGTAAATTACTATTCTAGAATCACTATTTTCCTGTCATCAAATAATAGAATGAACAGAAGGACTGAAATAAAAATTCTTTATATATTTTTAATGTAAAATATTATTCTAGAATTACTATTTTCCTTTCATCAAATAATACATACAACAAATTTTCGCCTTTTCTTTTTCTTTCACTTCTTCCCCTGGTTTCTTAAATGGCGGCCTTTTTCTGCTACTGAGGCATTATACTTCCTCGGTCCTCGCACTAGGTCGCCTACTAGGTTTTCATTCAGATCGGTAATGTTGTCACCGACGCCGGTGAGCACACTATATCCTCAACCGGAAATTTTCGCCGAATCCTTAGGTGTTCCAAGCAGAGGTTCAACATCCATGGCCTTAGGCTGCCGGCTTAACGAAGGACGGCATATCCGTACCATATCTTGTGCTCATTGATATGATGGTAGCTGTAGCTATGATATGCTATTTCGCTACAGATGGTACAGAATGGTCACCCATCCAAGTATCAACCGCGCTCGACACTGCTTTACCTCAGATTCTGATAACAATCCTCTTCTTATTTTTTCTACTAGCTTCGATTATTTTGCCCTCTGTGAATAGGTTCTTTCGTCTGCTTTTCAGTGTCGTGTAAAACGCACTGCACTATGAATCAGCTGATATTTCGTGCAGCTACACCAACGAATTATAAACGAACAAAGAAAGTTGAATTGAAGATGAAAAGTGCAATTTTGGTTTTTAAATGCGGTATTTGATGTAACTAGGTCCTTTCTTTTGTACGAGAAGTGTAGCACATTCGTACACCTCGTGTAATTTACACCGAATTTGAGCATTCTTTTGGAAAGTGCATTTCACACCAGTGTAGTTTATCTCCACGGGCAAGTGTGAATTACACTCAAATTCAAGAATATATAAAATCGCGATAAATTACTCGAAATACATGTGTGATTATATTTATAATACATAAACACCTATACTCGAAAACCAGTTACATCAAATACCGCATTTAAAAATCAAAATTGCACTTTTCCTCTTCAATTCAATTTTCTTCGTGCGTTTGAAATTCGTTGGTGTAGCTGCACGAAATATCAGCTGATTTATAGTGCAGTGCATTTCACACGACACTGAAAAGCAGACGAAAGAGCATACTGGTTTTCGATTATGGGAGATAAACTACACTGGTGTGAAATGCAATCTTCAAAAGAATTCCCAAATTCGGTGTAAATTACACGAAGTATACGAATGTGCTACACTTTTCGTACAAAAGAAAGGGCCTCAGTTGTTTACATTCAGTTCATTGGTTACTTGGATATCTGGAATCTGTAAACTTGAAGTTCCATGTCAGATCACTCAAAACTCAAATATTTTAGGTTAATGTTTTAAAAATTCAAACATTCGGGATGTTTTAATTCATTTTAGGAAATAGATGTACCTATAGAAAGTCAAACTTTAGCATTATTTTTGTTCCACCTCCTATTTTTCTAACTTTATAGAAACATGATTGGTGTTAGAGTGAGCGCCTTCAATGAAAATGGACTAGGAGAACCTGATCAAGATGCAAATTCAGCTTTAACAGAATTAGATAAAGGTAATCTAAAGATTTCATTCACATTCATTCCCAATATTGAGTAGGTATTTACTTGAATATTCCTTGTAGGATTGAGATCTGGAAAAGTGGGAGAACAATGTGAAGCTATTGTAAGATTTCCCAAACTTTTCGAAAAGTACCCCTTTCCTATCTTGATAAATGCTTCTCTACTAAAACTGGCTGATGTTTTTCGCATGGGGTAAAAATATTTGTTATTTTATAAAGATCATGACATTGCTATTTCATATTTCCTAGGAACAATTTCTTGAGATTATGTGTCCTGAGAGTGTGTCAGCAAAGTGAAAAACATTTGGACAAAATCTCTAATGTTGATGAATTTGTCAGGAGAGTTTACAGTGTCATTCACAGCAATGACCCTATTGCCAGGGCAGTTACTCTTAGAATATTTGGTGCTGTAGCTGCCATAATTCCAGAAAGACAGCAGATTCACCACTGCATCAGAAGTAGTTTGGACTCACATGATAGTGTGGAAGTTGAAGCTGCAATTTATGCTGCAATTCAATTTGCAGCTCAATCAAAGTAGGTAGCCATACATACAGGGTGGTCCAACAAAAACTTTACACCCTGGTTTTGGGGGCTTTAAAATGAGAATCCCTGTAACTTCAACCCACCTACCAGGAGGAAGCACAACCCCCGGATTTTGAATAGCACTATCGGACCCTCTAATTTCCCGTCGAAATTTTTATCAATAATATTATTCTTATCAGAGTAGGATTCAGAAAGGAATTATTTAATTGTAATTTTTTGTCACAAAAAAGTTTATGAATGCCACATCTGTTTGATTTACCTCAGTTCATCATGAGATAGTAAGTCCACAAACTTTTTAAGTAAATACTTTTCAAATCCTACTTGGATAAGAATAATATTTTCAAGGTAAATTCAACATTGCCTCTTTTACTATTTTATCTCTCATCTCATTTAGATGGAAATTTTGACATATAATTAGAGGGTCAGATAGGACTGGTTTGAATCTTCAAATTGAGGTTGAAATTATGAGGATGAAGGAAGCAGCAAAAGTCATTCCCCATGGAATCAGAAATCTCCAGGTGGGAGCATTTTTCAGGATTTTAATTTTAAAGCCTTAAAATAAGGGTGTTAAGTTTTTGTTGGACCACCCTATATAGAGTATTGGGTAAAGTCACAATGCATTGTTCAAAACTATTCATTTAAGATCTTTTGCTGTGAGTATGTGTAACAAAGTGTCTGATATGATTCAAGGACAATCTACCCCAGCTAATATGAAGCTACAATTAATACCAATACTCCAATATATGCATCATGACACAAATACTGCTGCAATGGTCAGGTCACTATGTACAGAACTTCTTCCAGGTAAGAGATTATAAATGAGATGGGTGGTAAATGAAGATCAGTGGCGGCCCCTCAGAGGAGGCAACGGAGGCTGAGCCTCCTCAGCTCCTCAGAGATTTTCCTTAAACTGATATTATCTATACTTTCTCATTCAAAGGACACATGGATTTTGATTTTATTTCCTGTTTTTAGGTAAATATTTTTGAATTAGCAACAGTGCTTGCCCACGCATCACACGTTGAAGTCTGCAAATCACACGTAAAATATTCAACTTGGCAACATCTATAGGAGTCTAGACTCCTTCACAAAGCGCAACCCACGCGCGCAATGCAAATTCCCGAACATGCCCGAACCGAATAGCACGTGTTTGTCGTGTCGCGTCGCGAATTGCGGACAATCCAGTGCGAGTGCATTGTTTATGTTAGGTTAATGGTTAGGGGCTCTATAAATTTCTGAAAAATTAGTGTTTCAAACGATTGCGATTTAGTGGAATACTTTTTGGTGAACCCATTCAGTGCTTTGTCTTATGAAGATAAATTGATTGTGAAAAACAAACGTCCGACACCGGAATTACAAAATCTGATGGTAACGGGTAACAAACAAAATCGTTCGTTCAATTCTGATAATTATAAAAAAATATATCTGGTTGACGGGATCTGAGATAAAGAATAAGCTATTTTGTTGGTACTGCCAGTGGCGGCTCGAGACTTTCATGACAGAGGAGGCTGATTGATATGAGATTTATTGTGAAAGACAACTCTCTACTCACCCAAATCAATAGCTTCAATGACAGTCTGTTTACCAGTTAACCTGAACTTAATACTTGAAGAGATGTGTTCCTGTGATTTGCAATGTCTATCCAATCCGCGAGGCAAATTTTTCAAATCATTATATCCAAATCGCCCCCAACATGATGACTTAACGGTTGAAAATAATACACAGTACCAACAAAAAAGCTTATTCCTTGCCACAGATCCCGTCAGCCAGATATATTTTTTTATAATTATCAGAATTGAACAAACAATTTTGTTTGTTACCTGTTCAGATTTTTTAATTCCGGTGTCGGACGTTTGTTTTTCATAATCAATTTATCTTCATGAGACAAAGCACTGAATGGGTTCACCAAAAAGTATTCCACTAAATCGCAATCGTTTAAAACACTCATTTTTCAGTAATTTATAGAGCCCCTAACCATTAACCTAACATAAACATAAACAATGCACTCGCGTTTGTCCGCAATTCGCGTAGCGACACGACAAACACGTGCTATTCGGGCGTATTCGGGCATTTGCATTGCGCGCGTAGGTTACGAGTTGTGAAGAAATCTAGCCTCCTATAGATGTTGCCAAGTTGAATATTTTACGCGTGATTTGCAGACCTCAACGTGTGATGCGTGGGCAAGCCCTGTTGCCAATTCAAAAATATTTAACTAAAAACAGGAAATAAAATCAAAATCCATGTATTTTGGTGTCCTTTCAATGAGAAAGTATAGATAATATTAGTTTAAGAAAAATCTCTGAGGAGACTCATCCTCCGTTGCCTCCTCTGCAAATCACAGGAACACATCTCTTCAAGTATTAAGTTCAGATTAACTGAAACAGAATGTCATTAAAGCTATTGATTTGGGTGAGTCGTAGAGAGTTGTTTTTCACAATAAATCTCATATCATTCAGCCTCCTCTGTCATGAAAGTCACGCGCAAGCCACTGATGAAGATATATTTGAGTGTTTGGATTGAATAATTTCAGGATATCCTGCCCAAGAGTTTGTACTAGTCACATTGAACACCCTAACTAAACTTGCTGCTACCACTTTGGTAGATATTCCAAGCCAAGTGAATCTGCTGATCAATTATCTAAAGAATGATGCCAGATGGGAAATCAAACTCAAGGCCTTACAGCACTTGTATGAACTGGCAAAACCAGGAGCCCATTTATGGCCACCTGGATCAGTAGAGAATATCATTGAGTATGTTTTAAACTCCAACAAGAAAAAAATACTGAGGCCTGCTTTGAGTAAGTACATTTTTTATATCAATTCTTCAAAAGTAATTCTAAACTAATGAAACGGAAATATCTGTTTGTTTTTCAAGGGGTATTACAGGTCCTTGTTGAATCTCCAAGAATGTGCCATGAGCATCGTGATCCTACATCTAAATTGAGAGAACTCTGCAGCAACCATTGTTATTCACCTGAACCCAGTATTGCAGCCCAATCAATTCAAATATTGACAGAAATTTTGTGCTATTGGTGAAATATTTTCTAAAAAGAAATTTTATATATTCATTCATCACTATTTATTTTTAGTTACAAAGAGAATTTAGACACTGATGGCATGGATGAAGTAGTGGCTGCTCTAGAAACTCTCATATTACTTTTAACTTTCATTGAGAAAAAGCATCATACACAACTGGAAATTGTTTTGAAATGTGCCATCAGGCTGTGTGAAGCTAGACAGCAGTATTGTGAGACTTTTGTAGAACTATTGGGAACCAGACTAGACAATATTGACAGTAAGACATACCGATTGCTTGATAAAAATAACTAGTTGACCCGGCAAACCTCGCGGCAAACGTTGTTTTTCCAAACATACTTTATTTCTAGACGATATTATTTTTCATTTGAATATTCATCAACACACTTTTACTATTTTATTTTCTACTTCTTTTCAGTTTGGCTATCCATAACAGTGGTGTTCCTTTAGTTTTTCAAATACTACTTATTTTCTACTTCATTTAGTTCAGCAATCTATCTTTAATTTTCAAAACTACTATTTACTTTCTACTTTTTTCAAGTTTGGCTTCCTAGCTCGTTTGCCATGTTAGATATGCCATCTTGAATTTTCCAATCTTGACGAAATAATCATAATCTCCAACCTCGAAAACCCTCAGATACAAATTTTGAATAGAATCGGATCTTACTCACAAAACTCGCCCGCCATATTGGATCCGCCATCTTGAATTTCCTAATTTTCACGAAAGAATCATAATCTCTGACCCCGAAAACCCCCAGATACTAATTTTGAATAGAATCGGATCATAATTACAAAACTCGTCCGCCAAATTGGATCCGCCATCTTAAATTTTCAATTTTAAAAATAGCTCACGACCGATTCTCAGACCTACCGAATATGTACAAATATGTTCATAAGAATCGGTCAAGCCGTTTCGGAGAAGTTTGGCGACAAACACCGTGCACGACATGAGCATTTTATAAAAGGAACGCACGTTCTATCAGCTGAATATACGTTTCTTGTGCAGGTGACTATACAAATACAGTGTGTGAAGCTTTGGGCGCCATAGGGAGCTTGAGGCCTCAAACCATCCTTCCTCTAGTGGAGAATATAATCAATCTCCTGATGGCCCTATCCGAAATTGCCGACCCCACTGCCCACCAAAGTCATACCAAAACCATGCTGTGCACTCTCATTTTCCAAACTCTCTCTGGTTACAAGTGGACCGACCAGACTTTCGACGCCATCGTCAAGGTTATCGACACCAGCCAAGATCTTTGGACCAACTACTGTATAGGTATGTTTAATTCTTCCTGGTTTGAAGAATGTCATCGATTATTCCAATCATTTCAAAATACACGTTTTTGATTGGTTGAAATATCTGTGTTGATAATCGGAAACATGATGTTCTCGTTTTTGTATTTCGGCAGTCGTTTACTATTTTAAAGATTATACACCACCGGCATTTCCAAGTAGCAAAACATTCTACTTTAGTTGAGAAAAAACATATGTTTTTGACCTGGGGTGGTCAAAATACAAGATATTGTAAACAACTCGCTGGAATGGGCACCAACAAACCCGAATACAGTCTGTTGGTTTTTTTTTTGCGAAAGATGATGCCAGAGAATCTAGAGATATTGATAAATGCTGATTATTGTTAGGTAGAGCAGCTGTACGATATGGTCATCACAAAATAGCTCACAGAATATTCGGAGGATTGACGGAACAAGTTAGCTCGGAGCATTTCCACTTCTGGCTGGTGTGTCTGAAGGAAATGTGCGAAGCTGAGGAGCAGCTGTATTGTGAAGAAAATGGAAATCTCGTCAAAAGATTGGACAAAGCTATCATTCACTATAATAAGGCCCTAGCGGCCCTCAAGGTGCGCTAGTTTTTCAATCACAGTTTACTTAATTACCGATAAATTTAGGCGGCTCTCAATTCTTATAATACAAGTTGTTTCAAAACCATCTTCACCGATTAAAAGAAAAAAAAAAGAAGAGAAAATGGAGATTTTTTTTAGGCAGCTAGCACTCCGCAGCATAACCTCACCTTCCAAGCAGAGTACATGAAAATTCGTACGGAATTTCTGCAAAGTCTTTTGCAATTGATATACACCTGCAATATCCTGTGTATCGTACCGCCTCCTGCTATAGCGACTACGATAGTGCAGAATACCAGAGACGAGTATCAGAGGCACGGCTATATAACTAATCAACTTAGGAAATGTGTCAAGGAATTTAAAAATTGCGGAGACATGCACTGGAAGTTGTACCAAACCAGTTTTGATGCCGATTTTGCTACTTTAGAGAATATGCAGATGTAAGTTTGTACTGGAATTTATTCTATTCCTCAGACCATTCTACTCAAATAACTACACAATATATGATTGGATTTACACAGAATTCGTAGGAAACTTCAGTTTTCCCCAGATTCCCAATAAATTCGCATACTTTCTTGTTTGAAAATTTTTTTTGTTTTGGTCATTATTGTGGTTTTGTGATAGATTTTATTTTTAGTCTGCAACAAATGTGTGTTTTGATGGAAAAATGCGTTGAAAGTCTTTGTGTTAGTGGAGCCAGAGTAAAAGATGAACCAGTAGAGTTTGGGTCAAAAAATAATAGATTGGAATCACAGCAACTGGTAAAGGCATGCCAAAATGCCTGTAAAATAGCACAGAGAATCATAGAAGATCCTTCCTGTTCCACCATCACTCATAATGTAAGTCAAAATTTTTTGTCTTATCAAAGTGAATGTCTAAAATAGTAATATATTATTTTCTGTGACAGGAAAAAAGTTTGACATGTCATCTCTGTTGGAAATAGTGTATTATACAGGCTACGCATCGGAAAACAACACAGCTAAAATCTACTACTTTTTTCCCTTGTATAATGGATAACTACACTTATTAGTTCCAAAAAAAGTGATGCACTTGATATTCGACCTATCTTCTTAAAAAAAATAGTAGGCCGATTTTAATTTTTTTTTCATCTCTTGGTAGGTAATGCATTTGTCTTTTAAAAAAATAAAGAGGTGAACATTTTTCCAAAGCCTCCTTGATGGTGGTGGAATTACTCAAACCATGATTTATTCTTAATTTTTGACTCACCTTGTGTGTTAATTAAGTAATGGCATAGAAAGTGCTTACGAAAGAGGCTCCTTTTACGAGCATTTTGTTTTTTTATTCATTGATTCATCTCTAAAATTTTCCGAACTACAGCTTTTTTTGCTGAATCCTTGCAGATTACTAACTTTCTGAATTTATCGAGAAACAATTTTTAAATGAAATAAACTGATACCAATAATTTTAAAAAACATTTTTATTGGACACAAAATTATAAATTGGGATGACTGCTTAATACCGTGTATTGCCTCCTCTAGCAACTCTAAGAACTTCTAATCTACGAGGCATACTGGAAATTAAGTTGCTTATCGTTTCTATTGGTATACGATCCCATTCTTCCACTAATGCATCTTCCAATTCTGTGAAACTTTCCGGAGACCTCTCGCGAGAACGTACCCTTCTCCCTAATTCATCCCACAAATGTTTTATAGGATTCATATCGGGGCTTCTCGCAGGCCATTGTAATGTGGTGATACCAGTAGCTTCTAAGAAGTTTCCCACTATTGCTGCGGTGTGTGGTCGGGCATTATCCTGCATCAATATAACATTATTGCCCACTAATTCTGCATAAGGTAAGACATACTGCTCTATAATGTCATTGTAAATTTGGGCATTTATCGACTGCCTCACCGGAAAAACATGAAGGGGTGTCTTTCCATTCATTGAAATCCCTCCCCACACCGTAACGGACCCACCATTAAAACTTTCGCATTCTGTTATTAAATTTTGATTAAACCGTTCACGAGTTCTGCTCCACACTCTTCTTCTTCCATCCACCATGTAAATGCAAAACCTTGACTCATCCGTAAACAAGACATTCGACCATTCAGGAAAATTCCACTGTCCATAATTTTCAACAAAGTTTCTTCTAGCAGCACGATGTTCGGGAAATAATTTGGAACCTTTTGCAGGTCTCCTAGATTACAAATTAACTTCTTTTAGACATCTACATACCGTCTGCTTACTTACTGCAACATCACGAATTTGGCGAAGATCTTGCTGAACATTTACCGCATTATTTGATCGATTCCGTAAAATCCGCAATCTCAAGAAGCGATCATCTCTTGGAGAAGTTTTTCGGAGGCGACCAGAACCGACCCTCCGAGCGGTGCTTCCTGTTTGTTCGTACTTGCGGATTGCTCTACGAGCAGTTGCTTCACGAACTCCCACTGCACGAGCGGCGTAACGTTTACTACGCCCATCGTTTACTTACGCAACTAATCTTGCTACTTGTTCAGGATTTATTTGATGCTTTTTATGTAATTTTAGTCAATAAAACAAGACACTCATGATCAATGACACAACGACAAATAATGGTCAAATATGGAGGCATACAACAAATTAGTTGCTATGGCAACGGCATTTGTTTTTTTAAAGACAATGTGATCCTACCAGAGTACAACCCAATCAATTTTTAGTACTCTGATGGTTCAATAAATTTAATTTGTGGGATATGCGTAAGGTATCAGCAAAAAAGCTGTAATTCGGAAAATTTTAGAGATACATCAATGAATAAAAAAACAAAATGCTCGCATAAGAAGCCTTTTCCGTATAGGGTGTAAGCCCTTTGTATACCATTACTCAATTAACACACAGGGTGAGTCAAAAATTAAGAATAAATCATGGTTCGAGTTATTCCACAGGAGGCTTTGAAAAAATGTTCACCTCTTTATTTTTTTTAAGACAAATGCATTACCTCCCAACAAATAAAAAAAAATCGGCCTACTATATATTTTTTTAAGAAGATAGGTCAAATATCAAGTGCGTCACTTTTTTTGGAACTGAGTGTATTTTTTCTGAAAAAGGTTGGAGGTATTCAGCCAAAATATTAAAATATAGACAAAAATCAAAAAGTAGCATTAATTTTTTTCGCACTGGTATAATAAAATATTGAATATTCATGTGTTCCTATATTATAATAATAATAATATGATTCTTATGACTTTATAATTCATGTGAATTCATTATTTTTAGCAAGTGGAACTTGTCAAAAAAATAGTGGAACTATTGGCGAACGCGTCATTGCCGATTCCTCGATATTTCTTTCAAGTCCTGCAATCCACCAGCGTGAAATTGGCCATTTCTCCTCAACCTCGTGTACTGGGCGAATTTATAAGCGTGCAGGCGGGTTCACAGCTGGCAGTAAAAGTGGAAGGTGTCATACAGCACGGAATGAAGCCGGGCATCTTCAGGAAAATCAAGGAAGTCGTCATCAGCGTGACTTCGCAATTGCAGAACAACCCGAAAAATAAGGAAGTGCTGGACCAGAAAGTATGTTTAATCTGTAAACGGTTTTGGCGTAGAAATTCGATGAAATAAGATCAAGTATGGCTACGCGGTGATACCCGTTTTTGATTGGTTGAAATATCTGTGTTGATGATCAAACATGAGGAGTATACTTGTATAAACTCTGATCTTGATGAGCTAGAAACTTAAAAAAATCATTTGTATCAGTGATATGGGAATTATCTCTCTCACAAACAGGTTATATGACTTTATTGGAATGAACTCGTTTCGGATATCCTACTCTCCTCACTAACCTGAAGTCCAGTTATTCTTTCAGCCATTCTTCATGATATACACAATTTTCATCTGTCTATAATATAACTAAAAAACTATTCGCGGTAACTCCTGGCTTAGATTGAAAGTTAGGAATGTTTTTCTATAGTTTTTATGTCATCGCAACGTCAGATGATGACCTTGGTTAGCGCAGAAAGAGTTGATATTCTCAATGTATTTCTTTTTATATATAGATATATCCATTTTTTCATGTTCATAATCTATATGAGAATATTCCTTTTCAATAATTTAACTCAATCGAAGGGTTCAAACTTGAATGATGGAAACTTGTTGTTTTTATAGACCCTTGATAGCAGATTCGTGATCAGGTTTTCTCAATTCAGAATTTCTTCCCACGTCCTGTATGATGAATATCAATAGTTGTTTTTTATTTATGCGATTCCGCCACCGGAATCACTTTGATGTGTTGTTTTATTTGCAACTTTTCCGATTCCGGTTGCTACTTTTCATTCCCGCTCACTACAAGAAATGACGTGAATGACTGTTGACAGTTGTCAAAAAATTATATTAGATTGACGAAAAGCGAAACATTTTGAAAGTAGAAGACATTTAGCAGACATTGTTATCGTGAAGCTCACAAGTTTATGATTCTTTCAAGTGTATGACAGGTTTCATATGTTCATACCCAGATCAAATTCATTCTCTCGATCTCAGAGAATAAGTTTCTCCAATCACCACAATCACTGCTCCAAATATTATTCGATGATTGATTTGAACCTCTTATGTGATTTCTCTCCCATGCAAGGTCATGAAGTTTCTCGTTTTATTTGTAAACGTCATTCTGTTCCCACCACCGCTACCAGAATGGAACAAATAAAACGCAACTATTGTGTCATACATCCAAAAATACTATTCATTTGTTCAGCTTCTCGAGCAAGGATCGTCCACCTTGACGCAGACAGTGACCCCGCACCGGGAGTTCTTCACCGCCCAATTCCTGTTGGCTTTTCCGCGAGGGGGCCAATACCAGCTGGTGGTGGAGGCCTCTGTCACCGACGAGCAGTGTAACACGTGGAAGACGGGGCCGAGATCGACGTTGACGGTCAAAGTGCCCGAGGAGACGAAGCTGACGCCCATATCGGTGCCCGGCATGGCCACTAACGCCAACGTGTAAGTTGATATGCCCCCACTGTATCGGTGGCGCCATCAATCCACCAACTGTGTTCGTTTCACCGACTTATAGACCAATCTAGATAGCCAGTTCTAATAAACTACTCAACACTAATTTCGTCGCACACCAAAATGTCGCCCCTGTTATAATGTGAATAACTTTTTTCAGTTCAGAACCATTTGAATTTGGTTCACACTGTTCGATAGCCCAGTCCTTCAGCTATAATCTCGTACTTCATTGAAACATGAGGGTATTCACATAAAATCTGTACATGGTGTTTTCCGACACTGTGCAAAATTTCGGAATATTCAAAAGGCTCTCAAATGGTGAAAAAAATGTTTTCTCAACTTCGACAACAGAGGCATGAAGATGATCTCATTACCTCGAGATATTTCGCGAATCAACTTCCTATCTCTCTTATTTACAGAGTGATCTCAAAAATTCAACTTTTTGGTTTTGCAGCCATAACTTTTTTCCACGTCAACCGATTTTAGAAATCTAAGGCTCATTTTGAAGATAAAACTTCAGATGAAGAGATCTGAATATCAGGATTGACTCAAGATGGCTATCAGAGATCTAGAGTTTTCTTGAAAGTGACCCAAATCTGAAACGCCCTCCGAATCTCGGTTGGGAGGAGAATTGAATGAAAATCAACTTGTTCTCGGAAAAACAATTCATTCTGGATGCGTCCATATTTTCCTCGCTCTCAGTAGACAAGAAAGTGCGTGAGAAAACACAATTGAAACATATTCTTGCAAAAACATCAGACCATTTCTCCTCTGTAATGCATGGCCCGTAACCAACGTTACAAGAATCACAGTAAGTGACTGACAAGTCAGGTTAGACGTCGTTTTCGAATCATAAACAGATTTCGATAGTTTCGATGCCTCATCTAAAGCGAATGTGGGTGACAACTTTGTTCTCGTTGATGACAATGCGAGACCGCATAGGGTTGTTGGTACATCATTTATGATGAGCCTTAGCTGGTCGGGTTTGTCAGTCCATTGTGATTCTTGTAACGTTGGTTACGGGTCATGCATTACAGAGGAGAAATGGTCTGATGTTTTCGCAAGAACATGTTTCAATTGTGTTTTCTCACGCACAATTCTTGACTACTGAGAGCGAGGAAAATATGGACGCATCCAGAATGAATTGTTTTTCCGAGAACAAGTTGATTTTCATTCAATTCTCCTCCCAACCGAGATTCGGAGGGCGTTCCAGGTTTGGGTCACTTTCAAGAAAACTCTAGATCTCTGATAGCCATCTTGAGTCAATTCTGATATTCAGATCTCTTCATCTGAAGTTTTATCTTCAAAATGAGCCTAAGATTTCTAAAATCGGTTGACGTGGAAAAAAGTTATGGCTGCAAAACCAAAAAGTTGATTTTTTGAGATCACTCTGTAAATAAGAGAGATAGGAAGTTGATTCGCGAAATATCTCGAGGTAATGAGATCATCTTCATGCCTCTGTTGTCGAAGTTGGGAAAAAATTTTTTTTCACCATTTGAGAGCCTTTTGAATATTCCGAAATTTTGCACAGTGTCGGAATACACCATGTAGAGATTTTATGTGAATACCCTTATGTTTCAATGAAGTACGAGATTATAGCTGAAGGACTGGGCTATCGAACAGTGTGAACCAAATTCAAATTGTTCTAAACTGAAAAAAGTTATTCACATTATAACAGGGGCGACATTTTGGTGTGCGACGAAATTAGTGTTGAGTAGTTTAGTTGTATAAGGAAAAAGGCGAGCCACTCAGGAGATCCAACTGGTGAAACCCAGTCATGCGCATTTAGGAACTTTCATGTTACACTCATGAATCCGAGGAAAAGGGTTGGGAGGGGTCTACTATAGAAGAGGTTGATGAACCATACATAGAGTAGTTAGAAACGAATGAAATATGCCGTATTCAGGTCTCATAACGTATGGTCCGAAAGTTTTGGGAAAAAAATTAGATGCTGACAACTCTTAGAAATACATTTTAATAATCTTAACAAATAATCTTACAATATCTCTTAACTATTCTTATCACTACCTAAAGTTCAAATAATCAACAAGGGACCGTTGTCTTTGATCTGCCTGAGTTTTCCTCTGACGCGTTGCATCATCCTTTGGACGACCCCAGCGTTGATTTCTCTGTTTTTTCCCGATATACGACGTCGGAGTTGTTCTTGATTTCGTGCTTCCCATCCGTTATTGTAGACTTTCCGGCTCAATATTCAAAAGTCTTCAATTGGGCGTGCCTGAGGTAGGTTGGGGGGGGGGGGGATTGTCCACTTTCGGTACAAAGTTGATGTTGTTGGCCCCATACCAATCCCTTGTGATTCTCGCAAAATGGTATGAAGCAAGATCTGACCAAAACATAGTTTCGTCATTCGCATGATTTGTATTAAAAACTGAAGCAATTTAGGAAGACGTCTGTCAATATATCGCTCTGCATTTAAGGCCTCACCACGAACAACGCCAATGTAGAGCTGTGAAATGAAACCAGCCTCAGAAATGGCCATACACCATACCAAAATTTTGTCCTCAAACTTCTTTTTGCTCTTGAATCTCACATTGTAAGGAACATTTGCGTGATCGTCCGTGTAGAAACCATCATTGCCCTTCATCTCAGAATTGGCCAAAGTGAAATATTTTTCGTCGTCCATCACGATCAACTTGTTGGCAAAATGCACTCGCCTCAACGCGCGGCAACATCTTGGAATTCTTTCTAACTGAGCCTCTGTGTATTTTGAAGCTTTTCTCCTTTTCCTGAACAAAACATTGTGTCTTGATAGGGTCTTAAACACCGTAGTCTTTCCAACATGAAATCTTCTGGCCAGTTTTCGATGTGAGATCCCAATTCTGTGTTTGGCTGCTTGAATGAGTCTCCGCTCTCTTAATTGGTTCAAAACCCGCGGCCGACCGTTTTTTTGGCAAGTTCATACATGGTATCCCTTCTTCACAATCTTTAATTGTACGATATATTGTCGATTTACTTATGTTCTGATCTTGAAAAATATCGACAATCTCTCGTTTCGTCATTCGCCCAACGAGATTATAAATACCTCGACGAAGATCAATTTTATAAGACATTTTGTTAAGCGCACACCAACAACTTTTGCATTGCTTATTTAGATGACAAGACGGGTGACATTTAATTACCACGCCTGCTTGATTGAATGCATTTTGTCACTCAATCAAACCAGGTGAATTTTTTCCCCAAAACTTTCGGACCATAAGTTAGCTTCAAAGTTCTCAGTCTAGATAGTACTAAGTCGGTGGTTCATATATTCTTTGGTGGAATCCAGTTTGACGTAACCACGCGTTCATTTATTTTCATGAAAAAATTTTTTTTTTTGTTTTTCAGAATACTTATGCCAGAAGATAGCCTTTTCGTTCGACAACGGCAGAAATAGACTGGTTAGGATTAATACAAGAGAAAATAAAAAACATAGGTAACCTTCTTTCCCTTAAATATTATTCGTAAAATATTACAAAAATATAATATGTATATGTATTACATTTCCAGTATAAATGTTATAAAACCTTTTTGTATTAAAATCCATATGCTGTAATTAAAATGTTAAATCTCAATTATTTGAACTACCAATAATATAAACTCATTAAAACAAGTTAGGTTCAAATGAACGAACTTTTAGATGTAGTATTGTAGTAACACCAGTCTTATATTTACTTTTTCACCAATTCGCTTGGTGTGTGATGAACATAAATTTCCCGACAGCAAACTCCAATTCATTTGAATGGAATGTTCGAATCATCAGACTTTCCCCTCTTTAAATAAAAACTATAGGAGCCATCAAGAATACGAAAAATCTGAGATGTAACATATTAATTGCAAACCTTTTTATTACATCACAATCACAAGATTTCAAATGATCCATAACCAACAAATTATTGACTAAACTATTGCACTTCAATTATTCTGATGAAATTCCTGGCCATATTCGCCAATAAATTTTAAAGACCAAGAAATTACGCCAGGAACAAAATATTTTTTTTGCTTATCAGAGCTCAATATCAAATCTCAAGAAAGAATGTACAATGCGACAAATAACTGTAAGATAAAACTTCTATTATGTATATGGCAGGAAAAAAATATGGATGACTCATAGTGCACTATATTCAATCTACTATAGCTTGAATATATTCAACAGATAAATAGTTGATAACCATTATTAGAGAAATAAGCCTCCTAACCTCTTGTTTTGTTAGATTTTCTCCTCGTTTATAGAACTATATTATTACATGTGTAGTTGAAAATCTGTAAAAAATATCATTATTATCCATGGACCAAGATTATATCAAGAGGCTTCAGTCAAGAGATATGTTTTGCAATCATCATAGTTCTATAGAACTGAAGGAAATACACTCACTAGTCACCAAAAACTTTAGTCAAGTTGTTCGCCCTGCGACTTCTTTAGTTCTTGTCGGATTTTGGTGACATTTTGATCAAATCGTAGATTCATGTTCCGGAATGTTAACCTGAATATGAATTCCCAAAAAAGCTGATAGCTTGGTCATTATACAGGGAAAAACAAGAGTTACTCGTTTACCCATAACTTCTTAACGCCCTGTGGCTGAAGTGAGTGGTTGAACTCCTCTTCATTATGTCATCGATTGTTTCTCATCACAATAGTTTTTGATTCACGTCGATATCTCATTTTTTAGAAAAGATACGAGGGTTTTAAGAAAGTATGGAGTTATTCAAGTTTTATTAACAATAATCAGAACGTACATAAACTTATCGATCGACAAAATAAAAAAAAAACATCTTAAAATCAATATGGCTTATTTCCACATTGTTTTCTTGGTACACTTTTCTTCGAAAATTGCTGTCGATCGACACTTCACTTCTATCGGCAGAAAAATACTGGTCACCCTTGATTATTTAAATTAAAATGGCAGGCTTGGACAATTGTCTGGAGTGATTTTGACAGTTAATCAATAATACAAATCAGCACCTTTTGTTTTAGTTCGTGATTCACGGTGGCATGTCATTATTGTTGTTAAAAAGAAAAACAACAGTTTTGGGGTAATAATAATGGCGTTAACTGTTGCGGATGTTGCTCAAGTGGTAGCTATGCTTCAAAATGGTCACAGTCAACGTTATGTGTCTCGAACATTAGGAATACCTCGTACTGCAGTTCCATATGTTTGGAATCGTTTTCTGGAGACTGGCAGATTCGAAAGGCGTGCTGGATCCGGAAGAAGAAGAGCAACAAGTAGGGTTGATGATCGTTTTGTTGCGCTTAGATCGTTTGTTAATGAAACTTGAATAACTCCATACTTTCTTAAAACCCTCGTATCTTTTCTAAAAAATGAGATATCGACGTGAACCAAAAACTATTGTGATGAGAAAAGAATACTCTTCAATCCATGACATAATGAAGAGGAGTTCAACCACTCACTTCAGCCACAGGGCGTTAAGAAGTTATGGGTAAACGAGTAACTCTTGTTTTTCCCTGTATAATGACCAAGCTACCAGCTTTTTTGGGAATTCATATTCAGGTTAACATTCAGGAACATGAATCCACGATTTGATCAAAATTTCACCAAAATCCGACAAGAACTAAAGAAGTTACAGGGCGAACAACTTGATTAAATTTTTTGGTGGCCGGAAATCTACGTGATGACGATTTCCACTGGTCCATCGTTATTGGAGAATGTTCTGAACGAACTTTGTCAGTCACTTTTGTCAATCAACTTTACTTCAGTCCGTGAGCTCTCTTTGTTAGAAATTTGTTTGGAACTTTGTCAGATTACTATCTGCCCCAAAAAAGTATTTGATGTACGATGATCGCCATCCGTAGTTCTAGGGCTAGTGGTGGGAAAAAAATCATCACACGGGACCGACGAACGGAGAAAATCTCGTAGCAGCCGGCGTCCTATTATAATCCCTCAAAACGATGCCCTCCTTCTCATAATCCCCGCTCTTGCCGCCGCTCTTGCTCACCAGCTGCACATCCGTGATCACGATGGCCTTGCTCACCGCCTTGCACATATCGTAAACGGTCAAAGCCGCCACACTGACAGCTGTCAAAGCCTCCATTTCCACTCCCGTCTTTCCCTCACAGCGCACCTGCGCCTCGATCTCCACCGCCTCCTTTTCGTCTGCCAAACGGACTGTCACATCGACGCTGGACAGGGCGATGTTGTGGCACAAGGGCAGGAATTCCGAGGTTTTCTTGGCGCCGATTATGCCGGCGATTTCGGCGATGGTGAGAACGTCGCCTTTTTTTATCGAGTTCTCGAGGATGAGCTTGGCGATGCGTGGGCCCACTTTGACCGTGGCCATGGCTGTGGCGCTTCGGCGGGTCACATGCTTGTCGGCCACGTCCACCATTTTGGCTTTGCCTTGTTTGTCGAGGTGCGTGAGTTGCGCGGTCTGATTGGTCGAGTAGGATCTCGAAAGTGTTTGTAGGGACGGGGTCATTGGTGGTGAGTGAATGTGATTGTAGTATATGGGTTTTAATTCCAAAGGTTTTATGTGGTATTTCATAGATGCCATATCTGAAATAAATGTGATTTTTTTTTCAGATCATCTAAACACGATGTCTAATAACTATTACAAGAAAACCAAAGTAGTAGATTGACTGCCGCGGCTGATAGTTCACAGTCGAGTGTAGCTCTTGGCTAGGAATTCAGTTAAGGCAGTCAATCTACATTTGCTGCCGTGTGAAACCTATAATTTGTTCTCCAAATGTAATAATGTTAAACAAATTTTGTGTAATTTTTTTATTGAAAACTCCATCATTTTGTGTTCACTCAATATCAGTGTCAATTTTGATTACCAATTTCATTCAAATTTTTTATTCCGCTTGGAAAAAAAAAACGATTTTGTCGAAAAACTTGTATGGAGTATACAGGTCGTTTATCGAATCGGTACATATTTGGATAGCAATATCCCACGAGACATGCGGCTATCGGCCCACCTGCACCTCTATTCTCCGTAGTTGGCAACGTTGCCAAATACCAACCTTTCTTGATACTCCTATATGTAACGATTCGTTAAACAACCTGTATTATTCATTTGTGTTAGAACAATATTTTGAAGATGTTGACTGTTTTTTTTCGGATAAACTACTATATTATAGGAATTTCGTTTAGTGCGCTCCAAGAAATAAAAATAAAATTTTTTTCATATCAGTAATATTTTTCAAAAAAAAATCTAGAAAAATACAGATAGTTGAATCTAGCATCATAGTACAACCCATGTTTACTTGTTTTTAATATACAACTTCAATTTCTAGTTTTCTGAAAGTGTTAGTATATAGCCATTGAAAATAATGTAGGATGCAATGAATAGGCAAATGCATATTTTAAATAAATAAAATGGTTTGAGTACAAGGTGATTCAAAACTTTAGGCCCTTGGCTTATAAAGGATGAAAATTTGGCAGAGGGGTTTCGAATAGCTGTGTTTGAGGTATACTTTTTGATCATTTTTCAACACCATTCAAAATGATGTCAGAAAAAAATTTTTTTTTCCACCACTAACCTGAGAAATCACCATTAATCGAGGTAATCGGTTTCAATATGAATGCAAAATGTGTTCCAATTCATATTGTTTACTAAACAATTTGTTTCCTGGTCAACTTGATATTTATTTCGGCGGGGTCAGTGGAAATTTATTTGAAAATGTCAACTTTAGAGTCTTTAGAAAAAAACGTTTTGGATGAAAGTTGTTTTATGAGCCAAGGGCGGGAAGTTTGATGCACCCTGTGCATATATAGATAGAATACGGAATGGAAAAATACTAATAAATACCATTTTATCTACAAAAAATAGGGGACCCAAGAGAACACACACAGAAATAAGCATGATAATGTTTCTAAGCATGACGATCTTTTCAATACATATAGTATTTTTTAGGTGATAAACGTTCACAAATGAAAATGTACCAGATATCCAAAAAAGTATGTCTTTTATACCTCAAAATTAAATTAATCATGAACATAAAATATTCAGTTATGTTGAAAATCTGATTATTTATCTGAATCGGGATATCTGGTGGTGCAGAATTTGATGTAATTTGTTCACTCTACCTTGAATGATTATTTCTAAAAATCTGTTAACCTCCTATAAGAATCATCGGACGATTCTCCATTTGTGAAATGTTCATCATGCCTGTAAAAACAGTATTGTAACAGGGAAATTTACCAATACGTAATTTAAACAATTAAAGCACTGCTCTAAAGTATCACAAAAGAAATCAAGCTCAAACAATAAGTAGGTTACTGCAATCTAAATATAATATAACTACTGTTCATAGAGAAACAAAACTCTCACTTTCATGACATCATTTGTTTTATTCCCACAGTTAAACTAACTGTTGGCTTTTGGGTTACAAAAATTTTAACAATAATTAGGGAAATCAATCAAAGGAAGGAACACCAGGCAAGAGAAAAATACAAGAAATAGAACAAAGTTCATAGAAGAAAAGGAATAATTAGGATACTTTATGCAAATTCTATCCCCAAGTTTGATCAGAGCAATATCACAATTCGCAAATCAAATAATGTTCCTAGAGAACCGAAAAATTCTAGGAACTGTGGGATTGTTTAGGAGATTCCTGTCTAAACGTAATGATTTAGCACAAATAATTACGTTTTATGAACATTCAATAAACAATTAAACTTTGAGAACTAGGAAAAGGCAACTCGTATTGGAAAAACGTACCTGCATGTTGTTTCTTTTTCCTTTTGACTGCGGCACTGATCAGAGCAACCAAGTCATCTTCAGAACAATCATTCCTTATGGCGTCGCGCAAAGAAACTTCCGTATTTCCAAACAGACACACTTTCAAATTGCCGTCCGCTGTTATCCTCAATCTATTGCAAGATCCACAGAAATGTTCGCTCATGGACGTTATGAAGCCCACTTGACCTTTATATTTGGGTACCTTCCATGCCTAATGCAAACGTTTTCCTACTAAATACCACCATCAACTCAACGAGAGTACAAATATTCATTTGAATTTACATGTAGTGTACAAAATGAAAATTATGTATCTGTTCAAAGATTTTTGTAATTCCAATAATTCCACCCACTTGAAATTTGGCACAGACAGGAGGATGATTGATATGTAAACTTCTGAACTGAAGCAACATTCATTGGCTATGCACTTGTAATGAAAAACAATGGAGATTTAGAAAGTTGATTTTTGAAATAATTAAAAAAAAAAAAAGTGTTTTAAAAGTGTTTTTAACCGCCAGCTTAGTTGCAAAGCAACCCTCGAAAGTCAGAGACTTGTGTGAGTTAAGAAGACGGGGACCTTAGCTTTTTAAGTGTCATCCGAAGTACTACTCGGCTGGTAACCGTGGACAGTCCAAAGGATTGATATCTAGGTACCAAGAATGTTGGGTTGGCCACCTATCTCCTCCCGCCCAACGAAACTACCGAAAATTAATTCAGTGCTCGCGCCGGGGATCGAACCCGGACCGCCTGGGCAACAGCCAGCGACTCTACGCTCACGGCCACCAGCCCAGCTAATCTAATATATTAAATTCTCCTGTCCCAGTCACCCTGTTAGTGGCCAAACTCCTCTGAAACGACTCGACCGATTCGTATGAAATTTTTTGTGCGTATTCGGTAGGCATGAGAATCGGTCGTAATCTATTTTTTAAATCGAATATTCAAAATGGCGGATCCAATATGGAGGAAGAGTTTTGTAATCGGATTTTATTCAAAATTGGTATCTGGGGATTTTCGGGGTGAGAGAGTATGATTTATTCTTCAAAAATAGGAAATTCAAAATGGTAGATCCAATATGGCGGACGAGTTTTATAATTATGGTCCGATTCTATTCAAAATTGGTATCTGGGGGTGTTCGTGGTCGGAGATTATGATTTATTCGTCAAAATTAGGAAATTCAGAACGGTGGATCCAATATGGCGGACGATTTTTTAAATTATGGACCGATTCTATTCAAAATTGGTATCTGGGGGTTTTCAGAGTCGGAGATTATGATTCTTTAGTAAAAATTTGGAAATTCAAAATGGCGGTTCCAATATGGCGGACGAGTTTTGTATTTATGATCCGATTCCATTCAAAATTGGTATCTAGGGGTTTTCGGGGTCAGAGATTATAATTCTTTTGTCAAAATTTTGAAATTCAAGATGGCGGATCTAATATGGCGGACGAGTTTCGTAAGTATGATCCAATTCTGTTCAAAATTGGTAACTCGGGGTTTTCGGGGTCAGAGATTATGATTTTATTCTTTCAAATGGGAAATTCAAGATGGCGGTCCAATATGGCGAAAGAGCGTTGTAAAAAATATTAGTTTGAAACACGATTTTATGGATAGCCAAACTCGAGGCCAAAATGAATAGAGGCAGAAAATTGATAGTATAGAAAAGGATATTCTCAGATAAATTATGAACATACAAAAATGGATATATATTTATATAAAACAATACATTGAGAATTCGCATTCTCTATGTGATGAGAATATTTACTCTTTTTCAGTTAATTCAATAGAAAACAACTACTTTCCTGGCTATATGCCACGACGAACATTGAATTATATCTATTGAACACACACGATTAGAGTTTGAAAATAAAATATAAAAATTTCTGAAATTGAGAATTTGCATTCTCCTTCAGACAAAAATATGTATATACACACATCATTCTTAATATTCAACAGAAAACAACTACTTTCCTGGCTATTTGCCACGTCGAACATTGAATTATATCTGATGAACATTCAAAAAGGAAAGTAGTTGTTTTCTGTTGAATATTAAGAATGATGTGTGTATATACATATTTTTGTCTGAAGGAGAATGCAAATTCTCAATTTCAGAAATTTTTATATTTTATTTTCAAACTCTTATCGTGTGTGTTCAATAGATATAATTCAATGTTCGTCGTGGCATATAGCCAGGAAAGTAGTTGTTTTCTATTGAATTAACTGAAAAAGAGTAAATATTCTCATCACATAGAGAATGCGAATTCTCAATGTATTGTTTTATATAAATATATATCCATTTTTGTATGTTCATAATTTATCTGAGAATATCCTTTTCAACACTTTCATACCCAATCAGGGGGTTCAAACTTGAACCATGGAAACTTGTGATTTTTATAGACCTCTAATCGCAGATTCGTGATAGAGTCTCAATAATTCAGAATTCATTTCCACGCCCTGTATGATGAATGTCAATTTATCATACACCCAAAAGCATTGATAGTATAGTTTAAAGAACGAGATAGATTGTCAAACTGAAAAGAAGTAGAAAATAAAAATAGTAGTTTGAAACACTAATGAAACACAATTTTATGGATAGCCAAACTTAAAAGAAGTAGAAAACAAAATAATGAAAGTGTGCTGATATTCAACTAAAAATATATTTTCCAGAAATAAATGTAAATAGCAAAACAATGTTTGCCGGGTATCAGCTATTGTAATGAATAGTAGTTTGAAAAACTGATGAAACATGTTTTTATAGATAGCCAAACTAAAAAGAAGTGACTAAAAAATGAAGAGTAGTTTGAAAAATGAAGAGATATAGAGTGCTGAACTAAAAAGAAGTAGAAAATGAATAGAATAGTTTGAAAAACTAAAGAATCCTGCTTTTTTGGATAGCCAAACTAAAAAGGAGTAGAGTAGAAATAAAATATAAGTTTTTTGATGAACATTTATCAAAAAAAAACTTTTGCCGGGTCAACTAGTAATTGTAGAGAAAATATTATTTTCAATGACAGAAACTCAGGCAGAAACCATAGGAGAAAGCATCAATTCTATGAGAAATATAAATAATTTCCATTTTCTACTGACAATAGGAAAATTGATATGGATAATTAATTCTTCAATGAATATATTTATTATCTCAACATTGATATCATTCTTACCTTAGATGTGTCATTAGGTCCATTTTTCATCTCATAAAAATTTGGATATGTTTCCTTAATCTTTTGTATCATATCTCTGTAGGAAACTAGCTTATTTACTTCCCATTTATTTCCAGTAAAGGGCATATATTCAATGAATCTCACATCAACATTTCTATCTTTTGTCAATTCAATGAAATCCAAAATTTCATCTTCATTGAAACCTGTGAAATTTTCATTTTCACAAAATGTAAAGCTAGTTCTTGTATGGATTAAAAAGGTATTACACATAATATTAATATTAATGAATGAAATGTATTTATAAGTAGTTTAGAATACTACACACCTTTCATTACTACACAGTTGATTTTCACTGGTTCATATCCCAACTGTAAAGCTAAATCTATCCCCATCATGACACGTTGCCACCCTTTTCTTCGGGTTATATACTCATATCTATCTGGCTTTAGAGTATCTAGACTTATATTCAATATATCCAGACCAGCTTTTTGTAGAGCCACCAATTGCTTTGTCAAGACAAGGCCATTGGTAGTCATTGCTACTGTTTCTAGACCATCAATTTGCTTCAGATTGTCTAAAGTTCATAAAACTATTGTTAAACAATGATACCTAATGATATTTGCTTTTCAGATCACTGATATGTTGACTGGACTTGATGTTGCTGAGAATACTGGTTTTGAATGGCACTTACAAATTATGTCACCTAGATCTTTCCTCACAGTTGGTTCTCCTCCAGTTAGCCTAATTTTATTGATTCCTTCATTAACAAAGAGTGTGGCTATTTTAAGGATTTCTCCAGTTGTCAGCAATTTTGAATTTTCTGTTAGTTCTACTCCATCAGCAGGCATACAGTATTGACCTAAAATAGGGCAATTGCAAGTATTAGAATCAAAACAACATTATTGTAGGTCATTTTTTTTACATCTCAAGTTGCACTTTTCAGTTAAAGATATCCTCAAGTAAGTGTGATGTCTTCCAAATAAGTCTGTTAGAGGACTCCCAACAGTGTCGACCTTTGTCTGAAAGATAAAAGTGTTTGTTGCTACTCAAATATTCTGAATGCTATATTAATATTAAGAACCTTCACAATTTGAGATCCTTCCAGCAGAGACAGTTGCCGTTTTCCAATTCCACATAATATTTTGTAACTGGATCTGTACATATTATTTCCACTTTTGAAACACTACAGTGCATTTATTTCTAGACTCGGTTGTTATTCTTGCTATCTTTAATGCTGCTGGGTAGTGGGTTGACTAATAATTAATGTATGCCTAATGAAGTAATGAAAAATAAAATAAATAAAACTGCACTGAGCACTGCACTGGTTTTTGAAAGACAAGAAACAACAACAACAATGTCATATACAATAGGCCCTTTCTTTTGTACGAAAAGTGTAGCACATTCGTACACTTCGTGTAATTTACACCGCATTTGAGCATTCTTTTGAAAAGTGCATTTCACACCAGTGTAGTTTATTTCCACCTGGTCTTGAGCAGGTGTGAATTACACTCAAATTAAAGAATGAATAAAATTGCGTTGAATGACTCGAAATACATGTGTGATTATATTCATGATAGATGGACACCTATTCTGGAAAACCAGTTACATCAAATACAGAATTTAAAAATTCAAATTGCACTTTCCCTCTTCAATTCGAATTTCTTCATTCGTTTGAAATTCGTTAGTGTAGCTGCATGCAATATCAGCTGATTCATAGTGTAGTGCATTTTACACGACACTGAAATGCAGACGAAAGAACCTAGTGTTGCCGCGAATGCCGCGCCCAACTTATGAAGCGTACCACACGTTTATGCTCGATACACAGGACATCTTTTCGCATTTCAGCTTATAGCGCTTCGGATTCTGATTGGTCACAATTAATACTTGCGTTATAACAGAAAGTTCGTTTCAAGGTCAATAAGCGAGAAATGTTAAAACATTTAGAACATTTTTTAGAATAAATCTGATATTTGTCTTGTATAACCCTAGAATGGAATGATTTTTCGGAAAGTAGATCTGGGAGCCGCTTTCCAATGAGGGCTAACAATATTTATTGTCCACCAAACTTCGTCACCGAAACATGAGCAGGGTTGGTAGAACCACAGGGTAGAAATGATAGGTAATTATACTTCGTATTTTCGTGTCATTTGGCCTTTTGCTACATCTTCTTCTCAGTCAATGTAAGAATTGGTCATAAAGTTTCATATTGAGAGTAAAAAACGTGAGACGGCTCACGTCTTTCGATAACTTGAGGTTTTCTATTTGTTCAAATATTCTACATCTTTATGTATATTATCAATGAAACAAGCCTCCTTGGGTATTCCGGTGAAATTTTTTGATTTATGACTTTGACATTGATCTCATGTTCTAGTAGCGCCAGCTGGTGAGAGCGAACATGTTTGCTTGAAATGAACCGGTACCAATGAACTGAATGTAAAAGATTGAGTACATTGACCGGTACTAACCATATACCTTCTGAACAGTACTATACTAACCTACACATAATACAAATGATCTGAACCAGGGATGACAAGCGTCTAGCTAGACCAACGATTCCAACGAATCTTTCGAAAATCGAGGTCAAGTGACGTCACCCACAACACATAATATTTCCAATGAACTCAATTTATATTGAGTTCATTCGATATTCCTTCCTAAATTACGACTACTTATTAGAGTATCGAATAAGACGACAGATGTGCTGGGTATCTGACTTCCACGGTGGTTACTGGTGTTACTGGGAATCAATCCTTACGAGGCATCAGTTTATTTTAAATTTGTTTCACTCAATTAATTTTTCAAAAATATACTTTTCACGAAAATGGATCATTTAGGACAAGTTAGGACGGAAATACCTTTCTTTTTCATGGAAGAGATATTTTTCTTCCTTATATTACCTTAATAAGTAGTCACTGGTTCCAGTGACTCTACTTATAAGACGATTGTCAGGTAAGACAATGATGGAAATAAGTTATTTACATCATTGGTGAGGCGTTCGAGAATCGTTCGAGGTAAAGCAGTGTCGTTGATTGATATATAAGCGTAATATATCAATCAACGGCAGTGTCGAGCGCGGTTAGTACTTGGATCTTGTAGCTGCGTTCGGTTTAACAAAATCGGAGCCGAGCGAGCAGATGCAGATTTGGTGTCACGTGATCACCTAGCAGATAGAGCTAATGGTATTTAACGAACGCTCAACGAGGTAGTAGATTGCGAGCGCCAGCTGTCAGAAGTAACAGAAAACAGAAACAATTCACTTAACCTTATTACTTTTAAAAACACGTCAGGGCAACAAAGTTCTTTTGAATGTTTGTTATTTATATTTTGAAAATTACTAGGGAAGGAATGATTCTGTCTCATATGATCGGTCATTAACTGTGGATCCAGGGCAGTTGTGATCGCATATATTACAGATATATAATTAATATGCTACCTACAGCAAATTCGTCGGTCATTCTGGCGATTCTGGGCAAGGAGGATTCTACAAAATTCAGTTTCGTATTTCGTTTTCAGTTGATCGAGTCTCCAATTTTTCGACATAAAAGAGATATAATTTCAATAACATGTTGTTGACATTGATTTGTTGACAATTGACAACCGAATAACCGATCAAATCTGAATGATCTGCTCCTCAAGGCGGAGCAAACAGATTACATCTTTCAGCTCGCTCTGACAATTAACGAACACGGAGCAGATTAGACAGAGGAAGTAGATCTGATTTATCGAACGCTTTCCGAGCTAACAGATGGAATCGAGCTAACAGATATGTTATAACCGAACGCACCTTGTATGGGTGACCATTCCAGGAAACGCCGCGTAACCCCGCACATCTGCAGCGAGATAGCATATCATATAAGAACTACAGCTACCATATCAATGAGGACAAGATATGATACCTACGGATATGCCGTCCTTCGGAGGGGACGTTAAGTCGGCGGTCCCGAGGCCATGGATGTTGGACTCGTTAAAGATCCCATCTGCTGGTTGGAACACCAGATATGGAGTGCCTTTTCACTTTTTAATATACGTTGGCACGAATGTATTGCAAACATTGTGTTTTTGCAATAGTTTGCTGCAGAAATAGACATTTTCACAATACATGCAACCTAGTTTCGGAGAAATATGAACTCTATTTGTATTAAAAAGTGAAAAAAAAACCTCCATAACCAGAGAATTCGGTAAAAATTTCCGGTTGGGGGTAGTGAGCTCACAGGCGTCGGTGATTAGCATATTAGGTACTATTTCTATATATGGCGCATCGCCTATACGATATCTCTACAAAAATGGGACCAGAATTAGAGGTACTTTTTGAATCTATTAGGACAGAAAGTGAAGGATGGAAACAGCCATGTTGGTTTGACAAGTTTCGTATTATTTTTTCCCTATGTCGGCATCAACGCCTATTGGTCGATTTTGTTATCTATACAGACATGGACAGAAGTTGGTCCCGCTTTGAGGACAGCTATGATCCATATAAATAAATATGAGTAGTATATATATGGTGATTAGCCTCGCAGAACAAGGTCGACGTTATGACGTTAAAGAAACAAGGAAGAAGAGGGTTTGAGGTTAGATAATTGTTATCATTGTTGCTGTATCATTCTAAAAAATTAAAGTTTATTAACATAGCGGAGGCATATATAAAATCAAGAAAGAATGATATAGCAGAATTAGCAGAAGGCAGAAGCACCAGTCCACCAGTGCGAAAATTTCTACATCACCATGGCAGACTATTTTAGTGAAATGGGCTGGACACCCTTAGGAGAAGGTGAAACGCCAAATCATTTCTTACATCTAGCAAGACTATTCAGAGACTACAACATGTTTGAAGAATTGAATGTGTTGAATGGGGAGAAATTGCCTCCACCAGCATCAGCAAGAGTAGTTGAAGAGATTCCAAATGAATCTGTTACATCTGATGGTAAGAAAATCATAGCCAAGTAATTATTACTACCTACCATTATCTCTTCTTTCCAGGTTTACAGTGTCCTGTATGCCTTAAAGAACATGCAAAAGGTGAATCTGCAAAAAAATTACCTTGTGGCCATTTGTACCATTCTGAGTGCATCATGCCCTGGCTCCACAAAGTATGAAGTGTAGAGTTAGCAAATGACTTCTATTGAATATACTTTATGTTCTAGACTAACTCTTGTCCTTTATGCAGATATGAGCTTCCTACAGATGATGAGGATTATGAAGCTTTGAGAAAGGAAAAAAAGAGGGCAAAAGAAAGAGAAGCTGATATAGAAAATCTCCATAACTCAATGTTTTCATGAAGATGAAAATATCATATATTTTTCAATACTTGATATGGTTTCATACCTACAACATTGAAGTGAGTTCAAGATTTTGGCTGAAAACATTTCAATCATTAATCTAATCTATACTTTTCCAGTTAGTTGAATGGAGTCATACACATTCCTGGTTGATGTTATATGGGTATTATTATTATTATTAAGATTGTAATGTTCCTGGGAAAATAAAGTACATCAGGTATATTGGAAGTATAATTGTTATAATACTGTTTGTAACACAAAAATTTCAATTATTGACATCAATATATTTCTCTTTAATTTGTAAATACACTATACAACATCTCACACTATACTATACTATAAAAAGTTTCCCCCAAAATAATTTTAGGGTTACCAAATTGAGTAACAGTTAATTAGATGTATGAATATGACAAAATTCATTGGTCACACCATGCAGGTAAGTATATTTTGTATCCACTGTTAATTGGTGCCACAAAAATTGAACCATCTTTATCTTTTTGTCAAAGCTTTACACTATACTTATACATGGATATCACAGTTAAAAATACAAAGACAATTATTGATGAAACTTCTTATCCTACAATTACTACTTCATTTAATATAACATGGACAACAACTATTTTAATTACCTATTCCTATATTCAATATCAACTGAAAAAAAGGCTGATGTGGTCTTTGGTCTTTAGCCTAAAAATTAAAAAAAAAACAAAACTGGACAACTCCTTAATGACAATAACTGTAAGATGAAAACCAAAAGATTAGGCATGAATTATTGAATGGGGACATTTTCAATCAATTTGAAAATAACATTCAAACCAGTATAGTTGTATTGCACATAAAATTTGCCTTTTGAAATAAAAGGACCTACAATATTGTAATAACATAATATATATACATAGTGGTTACTTTTAGAATAATAATAATTCATTTACACTTTTGGAATTATTGTAGAAATGATATAATCTTTATTTCTCCAAAACTTTCACTATTTTCAATGTACCTAACTAATTTTTGATTTAGTACTATTCATATTAAAGGGTCTAACTAAATGAACATGCTTCCAACAATAATTTATTTCTGCAATGGTAATTAGATAGGACTTATTTTTCAAACAAAAAAATATTTGACTAGAAAAACTTACTCATAAATATGTTCACATATTATACCGGGTAATTCAAATTCGAGGGCCACCATTGGGATCTCGGAAACTTTAGGTATTTCCAGGAATATTTTCTTGACTGTATATTTTTTTAATGCGCAACTTATAACCATTTTCGTATCTCCTATAGTTCCCGAGATCCCAAATTGGCCCATGAATTTGAAGTACCCAGTATACGTATCACATTTTCACATTCGTTCTCAAACTAATCTATACGTTTAGCCGTGAGAGGGCGATGAAGAACTATAGGCACGATGACTGACCCTGTAGGTAAAACATTGAAACACAACCTCACTTTTCTCATTTGTTTACAAAGGAATCGAAGGATTGAAATAATTTTTCACAATATTTTTGGCATACGAATCATGTTTTTTGGGCTATTCATTGATTCTAGCATGCCATCTAGCTCATTATTGTGCTGTTGTATAATGCAAAAAAATTCAGCAAGAGATGAAGGAATATGATTTTTCAGGTAAATATCACATCATTTTCATTATGAAATTTTGTAATTTCTCATCATAATTCCTTCTGCAACTTCTGCAATAGCTGCTATAATACCACTAATAAAATGAAAATGTATATATGATCATACTTCGTCAGCATAATTATATCAGACCAGTTCTCCCGTTTGATTGCATATGAATCCAACCTTCTTCCCTTCTTTTAGAAACTTCAGGAGTATTTCTATTAGCTCCTATTGCAGAAAAAATTCCAATGAGAAATGATAGGATTTCAAAATGAAATCGCAATATGTGAGTGACTATAGTATTTTATTCAAATAACCTAACTTCGATCGTATCCTTCGTATCTCGCTGCATTTTTGTGCATTGTACAACAGCACAATGTGATGGCATGATTGAACTAATAAATAGCCGAAAAATACGATTCGTATTCCAAATAAATAATTGTGGAAAATCCTCTGTAGAAAAATAAGAAAAGTGGGGTTGTGTTTCAATGTTTTACCGCCAGGGTCGGTCATTTGACAGATCTTGCACACAACCCATAGACAATGAACTCAATATAAACACCATATCGATTTCATGGATATGTATAGTTGATGTAACGCTTTCAGTGGCGCGTTTGTAGGTTTTAAACTAATATATAAATAATTGCTAATGAACCACAAACCACTACCTACTTTTTATAAGAAAATATTACCAACTCAAAGGTACAGGGCATTTATCAAACGATTCTTGTCTAGCGTATTATAAGCCGTGCTTATTGAAAAATAAAGTGTGTTTGGACCTCACATGGCTTCTCAGAGTATCGATCCTGCTGTAGGTCGCAGGGCAATAGGGACAGAAAGATCGCTGCGTCGTGTGCGAATGGAAGTGGTGCCATCTGTTGGTGACTTCTTTGCTACACAATTTGCACTTCCACAGGAGCATATTCGTTGAAGACGGTTCGAACATTTCAACGTACGATAGAGTCGTGCTACCGTTGTGATCTGCGGGAAGAAAATAAGAATAATTGGCTATCATTCATTATTATTCCAGATTTTTTTCGGATTTTCTCTCCTCGTCTCTATAAAATAAAAATATGAATATACTATTTCAATATACCTGTAGTCAGGACAAATCATGCCCCAAAATGTCACTGCGTTTAAAGAATTTTCTTATCAGAGAGTCTAAAAGAAAAATTCACTATAGCTTGTCAGAGTGACAATTTGTATTGAAAGGGGTTTGGAGAAGAGGAATGAAGGTTTATAGAAAATATACCAATTTTTCAGTTATCTTTGGACGTTTCGAGAACGAATCTGCTCCCGTTTTCAACATAAAAAATGGATTTTTTGTATTGCAAATTCGTATTTGTCCAGACACTTTTCAGTTCTCTCGTTGGCAATCAAATGAATTATTACAGGATGTTTCCATATTAATTAATCTCGAATTTACCATTTTCAGATTTCAGTATAGTGAATACCTTCTTCTATCTACAAGTGTGGCCCACTTAATACCGGAGCACCCTTATAAAATCTATGGTTTTCAACCGATTTCTTCTTTTGTGTTTCAGCAGAAGGAATATCCGTAGATCTATGTTCACACAAATTTGCAAAATCAAATTTCAATCTACAGGGCATACTATATATGTTATTTTTTCCATGTTAAAAATTGCGAAATATCATTAGCGATTTAAAAAAAAATCGACCCCACCACTGAATTCAGCATCCTTCAATTAGGTTGAGCGCAAAATTTCATTGAAAAATTTCGATTGGCAACAAAGTTATAACAACAATAATTTTGATTGCTCACCATTTTTAATGAATATTTCAGACAAATTCTGAGAAGCGGCAACATTGTCAACACAAATATTGGAAATCATTGAAATTTCTGGTATACATTTGAATTGATAACACAAAAATTATCATCGAGTTATAACATCTAAAATGGAATTTATCTCGGTATTCATGAAAAGATTTATAAAATGAAAAATTCATAACGTCGAAAAATCGGCTTCTCACAATAATTATTATCAACCAAGAATTTTCGTATCAAATAGTAAATTCATATCTTGATTTCATTATTTCCAAATTTTCTACCAGCCATCGTACAAATAAGTTCAATAACATACATCATTGAATAATCTCGGTCCATAACTATCTAGCTCTAATCAATACATTTAAAATTTTTGTTTCTTCCACTGAACCACCATTCAATTGAATACATTTTTCATATCTATTTTTCACAGTATTCTTGAGTCCTTCGGGTGTTACTTCCCTACAAGCTTGACGTATTCTTTCACACAACTCCTGTCTAGTTCTTGGGCGGGTTTTGTAAACTTTTTGTACAAAAAAACCCCACAAGAAGAAGTCAAGAGGGGTTAAATCGGGGGACCTGGGTGGCCATCCAATTAATTCACTTCCTCGACCAATCCAACGACGAGGAAAGTGTTCATTCAGCCATTGTCTGATAATCCTAGCATGATGCACTGGGCATCAGCCATCTGATTGAAAATGTAGATCATTCCAAAAGGGCACCATTCTAGAGATTCAAACTCGATAATAATTTGTGTTATCAATTCAAATGTATACCAGAAACCCCAATGATTTCCAATATTTGTGTTGACAATGTTGCCGCTTCTCAGAATTTGTCTGAAATATTCATAAAAAATGGTGAGCAATCAAAACTACTATTGTTGTTATAACTTTGTTGCCAATCGAAATTTTCCAATGAAATTTTGCGCTCAACCTAATTGAAGGATGCTTAATTCAGTGGTGGGGTCGATTTTTTGTTGAAAAAATTCGCTAATGATATTTCGCAATTTTTAACATGAAAAAAATAACATATTATGCCCTGTAGATTGAAATTTCATTTTGCAAATTTGTGTGAACGTAGATCTCCGGATACTCCTTCTGCTGAAATAAAAAGGAAGGAAATCGGTTAAAAACTATAGATTTTACAAAGGTGCCCCGATCTTAAGTGGGTCACACTGTATATCAACTGAACAGGAAGCAATGCTATTGTCTCCGTTCAGAAGAATGCAAGCAGAATCCTTGATTTTTTTATATACCTTTATCTCTCTTCTCCAAACCTTTTTCGATACAAATTGTCACTGACAAGCTAGTGAATTTTTCTTTTAGGCTCTCTGAACATAGTGACATTTTGGGGCAAATCATCTGATTTGTCCCAACTACACGTATATTGAAATAGTATTCATATTTTTATTTTATAGAAACGAGGAGACAAAATGCCAAAAAAATCTGGAGAAATGAATGTACCACCTCCTGGATTAACCGACAGACAGTATTTAATTGCTATCATGTTAGTTTGATGGAATTCCGGTAAACCCAATGGGATATGGAACATTATGGCGTACCCCAGTGATCCATATAACTGCTGGGAGTCACCAACTCTTTTCGTTGTGATCGATTAAAATGTTGTATGACTCACGTTGTTTCCAAATTAAGTTTTTTTATTTATGGGGTTCATCTGGTACAACTATTTTACTATAGTTACACAATGGAAATATGTTATTTCTAAATGCAAAATATTAACCTTATTATTATTTATTTTTAGTTGAAAAAAACATTCTTCGGCGATATATTATTTTACTATCGGTTTTCACTTTTTCACCATATTCATCTTGATTGTGATTCCCCTATTTTTTTGCAACCTTGTAAAAATGACTGAGCAATATGAAAAAAAAAACATTTATTTTTGTACGTTAAAAAAACATAAAATACACAGGATTCAATAAATCAAATGAAAATCAATTACTCAACTTTCAATGAGATATTATATAATAATCATTAAAGTACCCTGATTTTTAATATTACATGCTATTTCAAATCCATAAAAATCGAAAGAAATTAACTATGTTATCTCTAGTACAAAATTTATCAGTTTTCATTTTGGTTAATCCTAAATAAGATAGAAAAGGACCTGGCTAGAAAATTATCAAATGTTATATAATTCATATGAATTTTGGTATGTTAGGTAAAATTGTGTCACATAATAATAGAGCAATGTCTGCTGACGTCACAACATGGCGCACTCGTCGTTTTCATCAGCTGATCGGGGGACAAACAAAGCTGTGTGTGAATTTTGATTTTATTATATCTGACCCATTGGTGATTTTGTTGAACTTGTAGATATTATACAAGAAGAATGTGTACTTTTGCTTCCAAAATGAGTATCTATTGAGGTAGGTATATTACGAGGTATATTAGAGCTGAACTCAAGAAATCCATTAATTTAAAATTGACAAATAAACCAATTTGAACTCTTCTTTGGACTCATTCACTTCTCTCACAGGATTCATGATGAATGAATTAACAAACATGTCAATAAATAAATGCTCCAGGTATTGTATTTTAGTGGTAAATGTGCAAGAAAGTTACATGTACCCTTATGGAAAATGTGTATGCTTGTGCTTGTCCCCCCATCAGCTGTTCAATGGCCGACAATTTTACGTCATATATGACGTCACTGACAATGCTCTATTATTCATGAAGACATTTTGCAATCATATATCGGATTTGGTTTGAATGCTCAGCTGTATCTAAATATTCCTATATACATTGTAATTCGTTTATATATAAATTTTTAATAATAGGTAAATAAATGATTTCTCTATATGACTAGTTTATTTTGGCAAATATTTCTTTGGCAAAATTGATATTGAATGACTAGTGAACATTATATCTCTCTTAATATCAGTTCAATGTATATTAATACATTCCTATGAATATTCCACATTATTCATAATATAAAAAAATCATCATTATTCACATATAGTAGGTAAAATTCTTCATAATGGTATCATTTTGGATGATGATGATTTATTTCAAAATATTTTTCTCACACACACCTATCGATGATTTTTATTAACTGAATTTCAACATTCAACTACTACATGTGAAGTCAAACGAATTATACCGAGTCCAAATATTATTTTAACATCCTTCGTCACAGGGCATTTACAAAAATTAATATCATTCAAATCACACGTCTCGAAAAGACTGTTATGACATTAAAATATATACGGAGTGGCCCATCGAAGACGATATCCACCCAATTATTTTCCTCCGCTCCGATGTGTTGCAATTAATGAGAAACCGCTCCGCAATTATCATATTCCAAAGTTGAAACCTTGAAGCGTACCGGGCATCAACTTTCGATTTTCAAATGGAACACCCTCTATTCCATTGCATCACACATGGGTTCTAGCGGGAATGATTACATAGATAAAGGGTGATGAAATTCGAGATTTTAGGTTATGTTTTGTGTCGAAACTTTTCATTATCGGCCAAAACGGCTTTACATGTCTCTCTATCTCAACTTTTGATATACTGTACTGTACTGACATTCAATTGGTACGAATACAGGGTGGTTCAAGATTCAGAATTCTGATCACCCTGTGTCCCAAATCGATGATGGGCCACCCGGTATATCTACTTCAGTATTCTCAAGTTCAACAAGATTCAAGAATCCTGTTTTTTCCAATTTTACCAATTCTTTTTATCAATACAAGTGAAATATCGACAAGATAGACTGGTTAAATTGGATTTTGTAGTTCGTAGAGAAAGCTATAATTAAAAGTTCTCGATTATACTGCTCAAGAGTTCAAAATTGTTCAAGAGTATAATAAATGGAAGAAAAAAATTCTGTCAATTCTAGCATTACGACCATTGGGACCAATTATTTCAAGGGTCTAGTTGAAATTTTGAGCAGAATAATATTGCATAAAATATAATTCATATTCAATATAGTAATCTCATCGTTGAGTTCGTTTTCAGGAATCCAAAAATATTTTGGTTAGATCAAACATACACAATGAAATCATGTGAAACTTATTTACACAATCAAATATTATATCAAGACTATCATTATTAACCATTTCATCTTTGGGAACAAAATTAAACATTTTCATAGTATCATTAAATATCATAAACGATTTGAATGGCTATAACTTGTTTGAAAATGAATATTTTTTCGAGATTATTTTGACTGATCAATAAAAGCATGCCCTGGCAAATTTGAATATATTTCGAGATGTGTTGTAAAATGCGGATTTTATAAAAGTGACCATACTTTTAAACATCGATCGCACACTATACCCAGATAGCACCATCAGATATTCCGTGAATATTCTCTTTGGAATAGTTTTGAACAAATGAAGGATATCTTTCATGGACTGTTCCATGAATATGCTGGTGGGGAAAATGAATATATTTAGAATATATCCATAATATTCCGGATTCCAGGAAACCTAAGCAAAAGAATGATACTTGCTGAAATATTCCTTGAATAATATTTTGAAATAATCATGGAATATGGAAATGGCATATTCAGAGAATATTCAAGGAATATCCGGTGCTGTGTGTAGGCAAATCCCGATGAGTTAACGTAAATAATTATACACTGGATGCCTGTTCACCATTGCTGCAGCACCTGCTAAGCAAAATGAGGATTCTTGCTGAAATATTCTTCGAATAAAATTTTGGAATAATCATAGAATATAAAAATAGCATATTCAGAGAATATTCTGGGAATATCCGGTGCTGTGTGTGGGCAAATCCTGATGAGTTGCCATTAAAGATCATACACTGGACGTCTGTTCAACATTGGTGCAGCACCAGATCGTTTAAATATTCCTTTACGATATTTTGGAATATTCATGGAATATGGCAAGAGCCTATTCAGGGAATATTCTAGGAATATCCGGTGCTTTGTGAGCAAATCTCGAAGATTTGACATTAATAATCATACACTCGACGTCTTTTTAACATTGCTGCAGCACCAGCTTGTTTAAATATTCCTTCATAATATTTTGGAATATTCATGAAATATGGTAAGAGCCTATTCAGGGAATATTCTAGGAATATCTGGTGCTTTGTGGGCAAATCCCGGTGATGTGACGTTAATAATCATACACTCGATGTCTGTTTAACATTGCTGCAGCACCAGCTTGTTCAAATATTCCTTCATAATATTTTGGAGTATTCATGGAATATGGGAAGAGCCTATTCAGGGAATATTCTAGGAATATCCAATGCTTTGTGGGCAAATCTCGAAGATTTGAGGATAATGATCATACAATCGACGTCTGTTTAACATTGCTGCAGCATCAGCTTGCTGAAATATTCCTTGTATAATATTGTGGAATATTCATGCAATATGAGAAGAGTCTATATATATTCAGAGAATATTCTAGGAATATCCGGTGCTTTGTGGGCAACTACCGCTGATGTGACGTTAATTATCATACACTCGACGTCTGTTTAACATCGCTGCAGCACCAGCTTGCTGACACATTCCTTGTATAATATTGCGAAATATTCATAGAACATGGAAATTGCCTATATTCAGAGAATATTCTAGGAATATCCGGTGCTTTGTGCACAAATCCCGGTGATGTGACGTTAATAATCATACACTCGACGTCTGTCTAACATTGCTGCAGCACCAGCTTGTTTAAATATACCCTGATAATATTTTGGGGGTATTCATGGAATATGGAAAGAGCCTATATTCAGGGAATATTCTAGGAATATTTAGTGCTTTGTGGGCAAATCCCGGTGATGTGACGTTAATAATCATACACTCGACGTCTGTTCAACATCGCTGCAGCACCAGCTTGCTGAAACATTCCTTGTATAATATTGCGGAATATTCATAGAACATGGAAATTGCCTTTATTCAGAGAATATTCTAGGAATATCCGGTGCTTTGTGGGCAAATCCCGATGATGTGCCGTTAATAATCATACACTCGACGCCTGTTTAACAATGCTGCAGCACCAACTTGTTTCAATATTCCCTCATAATATTTTGGACTATTCATGGAATATGGGAAGAGTCTATTCAAGGAATATTCTAGGAATATCCGGTGCTTTGTGGGCAAATCCCGGTGATGTGACGTTAATAATCATACATTCGATGTCTGTTTAACATTGCTGCAGCACCAGCTTGTTTAAATATTCCTTGTATAATATTTCGGAATATTGATGGAATATGGGAAGAGCCTATTCAGGGAATATTCTAGGAATATCCGGTGCTTTGTGGGCAAATCCCGATGATGTGCCGTTAATAATCATACTCTCGACGCCTGTTTAACATTGCTGCAGCACCAGCTAAGCAACCGAGGGATGCTTGGTGCGCATGTGCAGCAGCAGCGTGTCGCTGCGCGTGTACACGGCAGGGCAGTGGGTGCAGGAGTACTGTCCGGGAAAGTGGACGTAGTAGTGGTTGCGCGTGTTGCTCACTATTTTGCCGCACAGCACGCACCTGCGTCGTTCGTCCATCGAGCCCACTCGCTGGAACAGTTGGGACACCTTGTAGCATTTCACGTCTGCAACAAAAAAGGGAACGGGGTCATTTTTGGTGTGCGGGTTGTGTGCGCTGAGAGTATTACCAGTCGTTTTTCTAGTCCTTCTAGTGATGGCACTTATTGGGTTTGGGGGTATTATTTGTTTTTCAGGGTGGCACGCTTTTTTCAGGATGGGATCAAAAATAATTTAGGCTCATTCAAATAAACTAATCATTGTCGTCTTTGATATTCTTCATACCTACATAATTTAATTATTATTTGTGAAAATTCATCACATTTGTATTGAAGATTAAAATATTTTTTGATTGAAATATCATTTAGCTGCTGTTATGGAATTGGTTGATATCTTCGTGTATATCTTTTCGTTATACAATGGGTGAACATGGAATTTGTATGAACGTATTTTGTAATTGAAATAGAGGTCACTTCTCGATATCCTTTTCTATAAAATTAAGGAATATCATTATTGTCTTGACCAGTAAGAGCTGGCAAACATTGTATAATTGTTGACCAATAGCAACAATAATATTGACGAAACACTGTCTATTATAGACGAGTTCTGTAAATTGATAGCAGAGAACATTAGTTTTTCGCCAAGGTGCATATTACCCTTTTTTCGTCGGCCTCAAACACTTATATTCACATCACGGTCCTATTCACATGTGAAATCTATCGGATTTCGTGAAAAATTAATTTGACAACAGCAGACCAGGGTTGCCCGTTCGATTATTATTTCATCAGTAAATATACCTTGTCAAAAATTTCGATCTATTTTATGCTATACAAATTCCAAGAGAGGATGATGAAATAAACTTATGACGTCAAAACATTATGTATTTTCAGTAAAGAGAAAAGTAACCTATTTCGAACAAAATAGAAACAAACAAAACAAACATTGTCATAAAAAATAATTATATTCCTGATTCTCAATTTAGAAATACTCAAAAATATCACAAAATACAGTTACATAGGTACTTATGAGATTTCAGTACGTGAAAAATAGAAACGAATAGTAAAAATGAACAACAACACTACAAATCAAATAAAAAATCAAACGCAAGAAAGAAACTGTTATAACAGAGGTATATAATAAATTGAATTTGATCTGAATCAGATAAAGTATAGCCCCTTCTTGCTTTATACGTATCATTATAGTACCTACATCAATCACCTAGGTTAATGATAATATAAGATATTATAATAATAAATAAATGTCAAAATATTTTTCAGTAGATCATAAAATGTTTCAGTAGATCAATCTGCAAATCAGGAGATCTACTGAAAATTCAGTAGAACTGGTAACCCTGTAGCGGACGAAAAGTGTCTGCGAACTAACCATTTTAGAACATTTTAATATTTGGGCATTTTGTTCAGGAAGCCTATCGGAAATTCAGCCAATTCGACAGCTGGCCAATTTTCCCTATAAAACGTGTGGTGTACTTTGTTGACGAATTATGAAGTTATGAAATTACTAGCAAAAAAGAGATATCTCTGCTGCTTTGATTAAACCACTAATTATTGAAGGGAATAAATCAGCTATCTTAGATACCTAACTAATTTCAGAATTTGTCAGGGAAAAAGATGCTTATATAAGTGTGAAAAAAAAGTAGGTAGTGGTTTTCCATTTCACCTCGTAGTACTTCACGTCTGCAACAAAAAATGGAAAGGGGGTCATTTTTGGTGTGCGGATTGTGTGCACTGAGAGTAATATCAGTCGTTTCTCTAGTCCTCCGGAGAGATACATGTGACATGATGGCACTTATTTAGGGGTTATTATTTCTTTCAGCGCGTATTTTCCAGAATGGGATCATGAATAATTTTCATAGATGAAAAACACAAAGTTATCTCCACAACTTTCATTTGAGTGATCAAAGATCATTGAAGGAACATGTTTAGGGCTTATACAGGGTGTTTCACAGGTAAAGGGAAATATTCCAATGGTACACAGGGGTCATCAAGGTGGTTCTGAAAATACGATATTTGATAGGTCTTAGAATCCTCATAACGGAGATACAGGGCGATTTATCGATTTACAGTATTTATAACGGAGGTACAGGGTGAATTATCGAATTATAATTATTTGATATCTTCTAGTTGAATAATCGCTATAGAAGTATCAAATCCGATTCAATTTTTTCTCCCGTTCACGATTATTCTTTTGATGAACTTTGTTAATTATTAAATACAGTGTGTTTTTTTATATTTCGAATGAATGTAAATTTTTTTGAAGCCTAACCTGTATTTCCATTCCGCCCGATAGGTCAATGAATCCAACGTCCCAAGTAAGCTCCGTACCAAATTTGAGAAAATATTACTGCCTAGTTTGATACTTATGGACGAGTAAATGATTATTCGAAACCGTATCTCTGTTATGAAGACAGTGAGACTTAGTAAGTTCTTTCGAACGATCATTTAACTAAAATATATCAAATAATCATAATTAAAACTGGTTTCATAATTTGGATACTCTTCAAATTTACATACTTTTAACTTTCTGTTTATGATTGTTACGATGCGAATTGGAGGCGGGAAAACAAAAAACATCAAATCCAATTCAGTTTTTCCTCCTCTTCACGATTCCTTCGATGAACTCTGTTAGTTATTACATACAGTTTGTTATTTTAATACATATTTCGAATAAATGTTAATTTTTCCTGAAGCCGAACCTGGACTTTCACTCCGCCCGATAGGTGAATGAATTTAACGTCCCAATTATAAACTCCTCAACAAACTTGAGAAAAATATACCGGGTAGTTCAATACTTATAGACGAATGAATAATTATTCGAACTCTAAGACCTATCAAATATGGTATTTTCAGAACCACCTTGGTGACCCCTATGTACCACTGAAATATTTCCCTTTACCTGTGAGACACCCTGTATACAGTGTGTCTCACTTATAATGGAAACACCCCTGTATCTTACGTAATCGTTGGGTAAGGATCCTGAAATTTTCTGAAGCAAGAGATATGCCAAAAATGCACTTTATGATCAAGTGGGCTCATCTTCAGTGATGTACACTGCTCGCCAACAGCCATATGGAACCACCCCAATTATCGGAAAATGATATCAGGAGTCAAAATAGGTCGGAAATCACTTCAGATTCGGAATCAGGACGCCCAATTCAATAACTATTCTTATTTTTCCTGAAGATTAAAAATAAATTTTTGTCTCACTTTTCATGGAAATACCCCCGTATCTTACGTAATCGTTGGGTTAGGATCCTGAAATTAGCTAGAGCCAGAAATTGAAATTTGAAATCGAAAGAATTGCAGTAGATTACGATATTTTGTGTACATAATAATTTGTTCCTCAATAATTGATGATTCATGAACAATTTTGCATTCGAGATGATGAAAGAACGTCAAATTTCAAATTATTATAGAAATATGTAGTAGAACTGGAAGAATTAATAATTCTTAAATGGAAACCTTAGTGTGCCATGGAAATATTTGAATACATTTGTTTGTATCTTTGACAGTTAATAATTCTCAATAGTTGTTTGCGACATTCAAGAATTAATAACCGTGAAAATGATATGAACTTCACAATCCAAGAGAAATTGGATATGATACTGATTTTAATATTCCAAATTTCAATTTGTCGTTTTCTTCATCAATTCATCATATCAAATGTAAAATACAAAGTGTGATACATCGTTGGAAAGGCAATTTTGAGTAGAAAGCAAAAATTGCGAAAAATATACAGGGTGCTATTTGAAATAAAGAAGTTAGAGTCACTTCCGGTCAAACCAAACTTTCAATTTTCATTTTTCTCAGTTGAAGGTTCCTTGAACGAATTGGAGATCATGAAATTTTAAAATTTGTTACTTTCGAAATGACTGAGATAATCCATTGGAACAGGTATACTGGGACACCCGGTATATAGGAACCTGATGTCACTCCGACACCCCGCGTGTTAATCTGATTGTTGGGTATTGTTCACGCGTAAATTAGCAAGATGAGCCGTTTTAGGAAAATTTCGTCTACAGAATAAACCACAAAAAATATCAAAATATCAATTCCGCATACTACAAGAAACACGAATTCATCAATAAAGGTACTTATTATAGTTGTTTATTTGTATATTGTCGTTGATTTATCATGCCAAAAAACACTCGAACTTTTTTTAAATTGGGTAAATTACCTAACTCAAAATTTTCCATCAGTAATCTCTCTCGATAAACTGTAATTTTCTTCGTAAAATTACTGATTTGCAAATGTTCCTCATTAGGAAGAGAAATTAATCCAATAGAAAATAAAGCTCTTGTGTTTTTGCTGTTGATAATAAATCAGCATTGTTTACTTAGATTCGCAATCCCAGAATTTGTAAGGAAAATAGATGATTATAAATAAGTAGTAGAAGTTTTTCATTATACTTTTGATCCCACGTGAAAAACATCAATTTCTTGATCTCAGTGATCTCACCATCTCCAAAATGAAACAAGCTTATTTGAAACACACCATTTTTAATAAAAATTATTAAAATACAAGATATAAATGCTTTTTACTGAATGCATATTAATTCTTAATAACATAAATTTTATTATCTCAAACACTAAACTAATTTTTAAGTAACAAATACATCTGAAAAAAAAAACTCACAAAAGCATGAAGTTGAGATGAAATATTTAAAATATCTATTTTTATTTTGATCTTTGAGCATTAGTTTCATAACAGGATGTGTAAATGGAATAATGTGAAACAAGAGTTTTTTTTCAGACAAGCATATGAATTATTTCAACATTGCGAATGCCTATCTAATTTTTCCATTGAAACATCCCAATTAGTCGCATTGTCTATACAGGGTGATTCATTCTCGTGTAAACATCCAAGTAGGTCAGTTAGTGAAAATACTATTGAAATTTGGGTCGTAGCCAGTTTAATGACTTTATGCTACAAAGACGTCTTCACAAGAACTGAATCCCCACTGTTAATCTTTCGCAGACAATAAATCTGCAGGATATCGCATATTGCACATGCATTGGCACAAAAATACCAAAAATACAGGGTGTTTCAAA